CAGTATCTAAATTGTAGAGGTCTGTTTATAATCTTAAAAAGAATTAAAAAATTAACGACAAACGCCTTTTCATTGATTGAACTAGATAATTAAACAGAATGTGACAGATTTATTGTGGGATAAGATGTAATCCAGAACAAAAACAAATAGTCCAAAAGCAAAAAAGTTATCTGTTTCTAATCAGCATATAGTCTAGTTGGACTCTTTGTATAAACAACTGGAAATTTATTGGCTTTCATGTATTTTTTTAAGCATACGTACTTAATAGTATATTTTAAGTATCCTACCTGAACTTTTTACCATTTTACCTCAGTTCATTTAATTAACCCCCCATATGTTCACTTTTGTTTAACAACTCTCCATTTCTAAGAAGACATTGACAAACTGAGGCAGAGTAGTCTGCAAAATGTTTAAATAAACTTTTTTTCTCTGGTATTTGTACTAATGGTTCATACAACATACAAATGTACAAACATATACAAACTATACTCTAAATGCTTCTCTCCTTTAAGTCGGACAATATTTTGTCATCTTACTACTTCCAATCTTTTCCACCACTTCAATCGTCTTCCTATCCCAACCGCCCAGCAGTTTACATCCAGAAATTGGGAAGCAGCTGGACAATAAAGGAGCTTAAAAGGATACACTCCCACAATGTTTATATATTTTCCATTTCTGAGCAGCAAAGAGTAGGGAAGCCAGTTGTTTTGGTCAAGGGTCCACATCTATCTCTGGCTGTCACAGCTGAAGAAGTCACAGCATTTTTGGGGTACACGTGCATGTTTGGAAGTGTGTCCATGAATCAGTGAGGCCTTGATCTGGGGGCTGGAGGTGCTTTTAAAACATCACTCACTAAAACAGTTACAAATGGTTGGGATGAAGAGCTTAGATTTTAGGACAGGGAGCATGGATGAAATCCATATGACCAGTAAGTCATCACAGTATTCTCACTTTTTAAATGTTCAAAAGAAACATTTCTGGCAAAACGATTATTCCTTTAAATTTTGTCAGCTGGTAAAATAATAAATATAAATGCTAAAGTGCACTTTAAAGGGAAGAATAGTTATAAAATCCAATGACAATATACTCTGTATTGTCTTCTGCTTTTTTGGGAATGGGTCGCGGGGGCAGCAATCTTAGCTGAAACTCCCATACTTCCCTCTCCCATGACGCCTCCTCAGCTGCTCTGAGGTAAGCCAGAAGCGCTCCAGGACCAGCTGACAGCCTTAGACCCTCCAACATGTTCTAGGCCGTCCCTCGGGCCTACTCAGTGGGGACTTGCCTGGAACACCTCCTAAGGAAGGCGTCCAGGGGGCATTAAACAGATGAGCCTCCTAAGTTGATTTCTTTTAATGTGGAAAAGAGCCCCTAACCTGGAAGACAGCCTCTGTCTAAAGGACTGCTGAAAAAGCTCAATTTATCCTCGTGTATCCAACAATTCCATTCAAAACTTTATTAAGAAAACTACGCAAGTTTGTCATAAAGATGTCCACACCGCTAAACACTAAAGAACAGGGAAAGAGGGGCCTCTGGGTTAGATTCCCAGCCCGGGGTCCTATTGCATGGAGTTTGCATGTTCTCCCTGAGCATGTGGGGGTTCTCACTGGGTACTCCAGCTTCCTCCCATAGTCCAAAAACATGACTGTTAGGTTAATTGGCTTCTTAGGTGTGAGTGTGTGAGAGTGGTTGTTTGTCTCTGTGTTGCCCTGCAACAGACTGGCGACGTGTTTAGGGTGTACCCCGCTTCTCGCCCGTAGAATGCTGGGGATTGGCACTGACCCCATGACAACCCTGTCAAGGACTAAGGTAGAGAAAATGGATTGATGGAGTTTAATTTGTCTGTTCTTTTGATATTTATTAGTGTGTGCAGTTTTGTGTGTCCTGCCTACTTGTTTTTGTCACTTTTACACCCAGATTGTCCAATTTTGGGACAATATACAATTTTTTTAAAATCTTTATTTCATCTTAACAGTGAAAGAAAAACAGAGGTGGTCAGTAAAGGTCCAACAGCCAGTCTGTAACAGCAACACTGTAGACAACCCATTACTACCTAAACTACTTTGAGTATAATTACATTTTCTATGTCAGAGATACCAACTTTATTTTTACTTGAAAAAAATTTAATCTCTACCGTTTTGTGTCTTTCTCAGTGAAAGCACTGCTCCAAGTTTAACTTAATACCCATCACAAAACATGACGCTATCTCTGATGGCTTTCAACATCGTTTCACTTAAGGGTTTCATATTGAAGCAATCTTGTCAGATTGTAAGCAGCATTTACATCCACCCATGTTTGTATTCCTTTCAATCACACACTAGTTTTATCCATGAGCCTTTCAACACGTATAAGATCATGCACAGATTTTAGAGCTGCGCTCTCACAAACATGTTTTAGCATCATGTACTCAGTACTACATGCAAGCAGTTTGCTCCTCGTGTTAAATCTCAATGTGAGCCTGTTTAGAGCAGCTGATATGATCTGATCTAATGGAGCTCAAGTTCATGTCCTTTATTTTTCTGTAAAATATGTCGACAATGAAAATGGATATATGAAGATATTAGTGGTTTAAATGTGTTGGACATTAAATGAATTATGTTTTCACACATTGTTTAACTTTATTGCATTGTATAGTCATATTTTCCACATCTGCTGCATGCAAAACTAAAAGTACCTGTATGTCTACATCCAATCAAAAGAATTCCACACACTCAAAACAGGCTTTCATCTCCAACTAAATACCTCAGTAAATCACACGCTAGGCAAATGTTTTTTTTTTTTTTATTCAATTTGAGCTAAGCCTATTACTGAGGATAGGTCCAATCAAGATCTCTCTAACTTTGAGTGCAGATAACGGCTTGAGTGCCACTTGTTGCAGGATGAAGACACCCTCATCTTGCACACATGCAATTCTTGCTTCAAAAAAACCTATCACTGCTGTGATCTCCTGTTTGGGCAGGACCTTCTTAAGCACCTTCTAGTGAATCTGCACTGATGAATAGCAATCAGTGCAGCCTGTAGATATTTACATTTCAGTTATTATAATAACCCTCATCATAGACTCATGCAACATCATACGGATAAGCTAAAGTTGTTGGAAAATATAGATTGTATTATCTTTGAACTATATCTTTTGTTTTAAATTTCAAACTACAAATATTTGCAAAATGACACCAAGTAAAGGACAAACACTTCGGGAAAAAATATTGACAGCCTGCAGGAATTTCTCAGGGCCTTAAACAGGTTTAACTTTATGGTCTCAGCTAAAAGTGTAGATTTTCTGAGTTGTAAAGACCATCTTAGGGTCTAAAGAAATTTTTTCCTCTCTTTTGAGTACTTTAAAAAGAGCACTTATGAAATGAACACACTTTTGGTGTTTAAACTTTTTTTACAAGAAACTGGAGGGAATGCATAACAGCAAACATTTGGGTTTTAGTGGCAGTGGGAATGGTCTTCTGACCCGTGTCAAATGACTCGGCAAGCAATGCGGGTTAAACAGCCTTTAAAGGACTTGGCTCTGATTGGCAAACAGAAAACCAAACCAAGGTCAACCCACTAATTTCCGTGATGCCCTCGAGTGCAACACGTTACAACATTGAGCCAGTAGTGTCTGACTCCGTCTGTGCCAGTCGCAGGTTAACCAGCAACTTTCAGTGGGAAAGCAGCCTCAGTGACCATAAGTAAACCAACAGTATCATAAATACCAACAAGACAGATCAGGGATAAAATTAAAATATTTAAAGCAGGTTCGAATTGATAAACAATATCCTAAACTTAAATGTATTGTTTGATGTTAACTCTTCAAATCTCTAAACCTAAAGAAAGTTGTTCAGCCAAACAAAAGGCTGAATCAGGTTGGTTGCACTACACTGCAAAAAATCCATATCTAGATAAGTCATTCTTTCTTAAAATAAGTGCATTTGTTCTTGAATTGAGGAGGTAAAATAGACATTTTGCCAATGGAACAAGACAATTTACACTTAAAATAAGTGCAAATTATCTAATTATCTGATTTTTAGAGTAAAATTACTCATTCCATTGGCAAACTATCTCATTTACCTACTCAAATTAAGGGTGAATACACCTAATTTAAGAAATGTTTTACTTATTTCTAGATCGTTTTTGCAGTGTAGGGCTGAATCAAAATAAAATTGCATTTTTTTTAAACCAAAATTAATTTTATTTTTTATATTCCTTTGCACTAACCAAAAGCATGCAATTGTTCTCTCCAGGGTTTCATTGCATGGAAAGCTTGCTTGTCTATGGTCCATTGTAGCAGGACCTTAGTGCTGTGTGGAAAAGTGCTGACTACTTGAATGCATGGTTCTGCATGCAAGCTGCAACCCTCCTTTATTTGGTGTTGCAGTGAACCTTTAAAACCACCTAAAGGGCTGGGGTGACAAAGTGTCTTACTCCTTTTAAATGTAATGTGACCAAATCTAAGTGCCTCTGAGAGTTGAGATCTGCAGATTGATTAATTGCCCTGGCACAAAGTATACAAACAAGGAGGATGTGTAAAACCACGGGCTGCAGGTTCATCTTTCAGTATGGCAATCCTACTCATACAGCCAGAAAAAAAAGGGAAGGTTTTAGCTCAGTGTATATTTAAGGGCCTAGTCAAAGTTCAGACCTAAACTCAATGGGGAACCTGTGGTGAAACTTTCATATTAAAAGCCACAGGGGGGAATTAATCATGAAAACCTTATTTATGGAGCTACTTTCATTCAGCTAATCAGTAGTTCACATAGATTAAAAGTGTCAGTCTAGATGTGGAAAGCTGATACATGGCTTTCAGTTTACTTAATGTGTGGACAGAATTCCTACCCCTAAACCATGTTAATCCAGCTATATGTGGCAAATATTTAACATCTCAGCTGGGCTACACAAATCCAGGCTTAAAGCAATAAACTCAACCTCAAAGCAAACCTTGTTCAGGAACCTGTTAACAGCTTCACATTAAACATAGGGAAAGTCGAGATAAGAGATAACACCTTCAAGAGACCTTTAGAGTAAATACAGCTTTATTAGGGAAGGAACTGTTCCATGACAAACAAAAGAGGGGAAAAAACAGATTCACAGTACACCTCATCCTCTTAAGATGGTACATTGAAACATTCTTCTTCCAAATCCCAAAGTTGCTCTACACAAATATGAAGCGCTCTTAGAAAATAACAGATTTACTTCATCTTCTTGTTACTAATATTTGTTCAAACATGGCAACAGTCTACAGGTGTGAATGGTTCTAAAGGCTATTTGCCTGTACATCTTACAATGCTACAGCCTCATCACTCAATTCAGTTGCAAAAAAACAAAAACAAAATGTTGAGGTCTGAAAATGCAAAGAAAAAAAACGGGAAGAATATTGGTCCTGATTTTTTTTGGGAATTTTAGGAGCCTATCTGTTGTACAGAATGATTAGAAAATAATGGGTCCGATTATGTTAAAGACTTAGTTACACAAATTGCATGTCTTACAGAGAGGCGTTGGTCACTTTATGGAGAGGTAGGATAGATGTCATGGTCCCAAGACAAAACTATGGTCATTGATGTCCTAAAGTACTTCTTTAGGGTTTGAATTTGAAAAATGAACAATGTACAATCTGGAAAAATGATTGGAGTAAAATAATACTACAGGGATTAATCTCTGTTGAAATACTCTAGCGGTTAAACAGAAGCCAATTCTCGTGTGTCTGCATCTGAGAATATATCCGTATTAAAATGGCACATTAAGCAGATGTTTAATCAACAAAAAGACAAACTGTTCTTTGTGTAGCAATAATTTAACCAGTTGTTTAAATTTGGATGCAACAGGTTAACAAATGGCCCCGATTTCTAAGTGTGATCCTTCATTTTTCCTATGGGGCAGTAATAAGAAGGCTCTCTGGAGTGGCTGAGTCACTTCGACTTAAAAAAAACCTTTATCTACCGTAATATCTGAACACGACAGAATGATGGAAAGCACAGAGTGGCAAAACATAACTAAAATCCTTTCAGCTAATGTGAGCGACGAGTGTTTGCAAGAGCAAGACAGTTCCCTAAAAGGCTCAGAGGAGGGTTTTTAACTTTTTATTTATAGTCTGATTTCATTTTGGAGCCAAACATTAAAGAGCAAAGCATTTAAGCAGATACTTTCCTAAACTTCAAGACAAAGTACAAATTTTTATTTTTTTTTCATGTTTATACTATTGTTTGTTTTGTTTTTTTTTTACAGGTGAATGAAATGGAAGGAGACATGAAAGTACTAAACTTAAACTGTGGAGAGAAGAGGAAATGAAAACCTTTTAGAGTAAAGAGCTGGAGCATTCCTTACTTTTTCAGTCAAATTCATCAGATTTTTTGCTTATTTTTTTTTTTTTTGCTCAACTATTTTCTAAAAATATCAAGAGTGAAACTGATCATACCTAACATTTATGTGTATCTAATTTCCTGATTGTATTTATTTTACATCACAAGATGAGTCTTGGTCACACAGACACCCATTATAACGCAGCCTTCCTTTCCGATCTAAAAAATAAAAGATGCATTGTTACATGAGTTAGAAACATACAGTACCTGTACATTTATTTATTTTTAGATCACAGGAAGGGGGATGCCAAAAAAAAAAGCTCATCTCGGTTATATTTTTACTAGGTTGGTGAAGTTACAGCTGTACAGAGATGAATTTTCAAATCTTTCCTCTTTGTGCTCTAAGGTGGAGGTGTCTCCAATACGGGGGTCACATTACTGGCTCTGAGTCTCACGGACTTTAGCCTGCAGAGCGTCGCATGTTTTCTTGGCGTCGCCAAGCAACATTGCAGTGTTGGGTTTGTAAAAGATGGGGTTGTCCACTGCTGCGTATCCAACACCCAGGGATCTCTTCATCACGATGACCTTCAGGGAAAACACCAAGATGATGATCATTAGAGAAAAACGTTTTAAAAACAATTTAAAGGTAACCAGAAACCTTTTAATTTTAGGACAATCATAATGCCACCATGCTTTAACTATTCAAATCCACACTTGAGCCATTTTACTTTAAGCTATAATTTTTCTTTCATATCTCCAGAGCGAATGTTTATGGAAAAAACTGAAGAATGAATTCCAGCTCTTCGCTTCACACCAATGGGATGCTCTGCATGCTGTCATTTCACAAGGACAAACTGTTATAATAGGATCAGCATGAAAGTGCACCTGCATTCATAACAATGATGGCCCGCAGATGCAGACGATTCACCAATAAAACTTCCCTCTTGTCATCTCTCTGGGGTTTGAGACAGATCTCATTATCACGCCCATAACAGATGTCTCACCTGTTTCGCTTTCCAGACCTCCAGGACGGGCATGCCAGCAATAATGGAGTTGGGGTCTTCTTGGGCGGCCGAGTTCACTGTGTCGTTGGCACCGATCACCAGAACCAGGTCAGTTTCTGTTTGCACATGGAACATATCAAAGGTTAAAGGGACCATGTGTTCCACACCTGTGGTGCTGCTTTTATATTTACTGTACATGTCTTATAAATGTTGGATTAAGTTACCATAAAACAGCCAAAAAATTACAGATAATTTACATACTTTTTACAAGGAGACAGTGAAATTAAACTCAGATGCATCTGATTAGATAGAGAAGAGCAGGATCATTTAAGCAGGTGGAGTCACTGCATCTCCATTTTTAAAAGGAGTTGAATAAACGAACATTATAGATGTTCACCTTATTTTTTTTATTTTATTTTTTTTACTAGAAAAAGCTAGGATGGATGGAAGAAGAAATCAAAGAAAGATTAAAGTCAGGAGTCAATTATAGAATAATAATAGAAAGGACACAAGGGAGAAAAAAGGAAAGGAGCTGAAAATGAACAAAAGAAAGGAAAAGGTGAGAACAAAATGGAGGTTAAGAAGGAGGAACACAGTAGAGAAATTATGTACAAATAAATTTAAAAAGTAACAAAATCACAGTAGAAGAGACAGACATGATGTGCAAAATGAGAGGGATCATAACCCATGAAGTATAAAAAGAAGGGAGGACACAGGAAAACATGAGAAAGATAGAAAGGAAGGACCATATCAGGGAGAAAGGATAAATACAGGAGGTAATGACTTAAAGTACACAAACAAGTAAGACTAAAAGGAGAGGGAGGAAAACATTTTTGAAAATATTTATGAAATAAACAACTTTTTATGGATAGATTCAACTCTGAAAGCAGGGGGATATAACATTTCAAATAAAGTGTCAAAATTCCAAAATAGTCCAAATGGTCATGTCTAGGTTAATTTTTCATTAGTGCTATAAGTTAAACTATCATCATCATTTGTTGTAATGTCTTTGTCTGAACATGCGTCTGTGTTTTGACTGATATAGTATTAGGTGATCCTGTGTTGTTTTGTCTTCCTGCCTCAGGACGACAGATGTAAATTAGATGCAACTATGCTATAATCTGGATCATTTACAATCTGTACAGAAGTATAAGATTGTTCATTAATGTACTCTGTTGTGATTAAATAAATAAGAAATAAAATAAATGTATATGTACTACTTACTTTTTCATTGAAATGCTAAACTAAAAGGTATCACAGCAGTCATAACATACTCTAGAAATAAACCCCGACTCACCAGGGAAGTCCTCGTTGATTTCCTCCATTTCCAGGACAATGTCATAGGGGACGCCTGCTTCAGCCAGCAGCACGTTGAGCTGACCGGGCATACGGCCGGCTACAGGGTGAATACCAAACCTGCAAAAAAAAAAAAACAGACTTTAGGTCCTTACTTTGCAGAAAATCCTTCCTTTACAAAAACAATAGGACCAAAGGAGTGGAAAGGTGTCAGTGGCGGACAAAGATTAATCACAATAAACCTATTGAACAGAGAAGGAGTGAGGCAAAACAAAAGAATTTATTGATAAATTGAGCTGAAAGATATTTGTAACCACCATTCGTTTACATCCAACTCCCCCAGCCCTCCTCCACAGACATCATCTATTTAGTGTGCTCTCTTTGTTTGTAACTTGTGCACAGCTCTCAAACTCAATTAACCATGACATGTAATCAGTTTAGATCATTAGCAGCAGGCTCCTTGTTCTCTTCGTCGAACTTACTTTCTGGCAAACAAGTTAATCTGTGTGCATTATGGACAGGGATTTGTGGAAAAGAAAGTGAAGCTTTGATCTTAAAGAGAAGAATTAGCATTTTGTGTTGTTACTGCTGAATCTAACCAGTAACATCAGAAAGGGGGATTGCTTAAGACAGAAGAAAGACACAAGCGATTATACAGGCTGTTGGGAATAAAAGTATAAATTAGGAAAACAAGAGTAAGAAGACAAAACAGGAGAAAAAAAAAACTGAATGTTTTCTCCTCTTTTCTTTGACCACCCACTTTTCCTCTAATCAGGCACAAATGCTCTAAGCAGCAGCAGCTGCACCAGCCGGGATCAAACGGCAGAGGCAGGAAAATTAAACGAGGTTCCGCTGTACCTTTTTCTGTCCCTCGTTAGCATTTCCTTCTTTACAAACACACACTGGTCTCTACATGCAACCCCAGTTCTTATCAACCAAATGAGAGCAGTGACATCCTTTCTTACCTGTATTAAAATGCACACATTTATATAATTTTTCCATTCAAATATATTCACCTAGAAAATCAATTTTCAACAGAAAATCTAGACTTTTTCTGTCCCTCTTTTCCAACTTTAAGTAGGTCAAAAGGACCTCTTTGTTAAGCACAGATTTAATCAAAGCCCAGGGGACTTGCAAACTACTGAAGGCCCCATTAGAACTGTCAGTTCAGTTCAGACTATCTTTTAGAAAGGATAATCAATAAATGACATTCTCAATAAAAAGTTAATTTATTTCACTAACTACATTTTAAAAAGTGAAACTCATAGGTCATTGGCATTTGTTTACATTAATACTGAATTTCATGGCCATTAGTTTAGTTTTAAATTTATCAGACATAAATGTTACAAAAAGGCCATTGAAAAAAAACAGAAAGGTAAGGAAATTTAAGCCAAAGCAGAAGTGTGTAAGCAGTGGCCCTGATGAGTGCTGTCTGAATTGGACTGGCAAGAAGGAAAGGTAGGAAAAGGAGGGAAGATGCCTCCCATTGATAATTAAATTAGTATAGGGACCTCTCTATATTCCTATCAGCCACATAGGAGTTATATGGTTGCCCACAATCCTTTGTGTGACATGTAGTCCAACAATACATTGTTTTGTGACTACGAACTGCAAATGCACACCTGCATGACCCCAGAAAGGTGAAGGAATAGGAGCTCAGAATAGAAGTGGGGGCTAGAATTTGCCCAATTCAGAATGAGCCAAGTTCTCATCAGCAATGCTATTGATCTGATCATGTGTGTTGAAACATTTCAAAGGTTCAAGACACAGGATGTTAAAGACTGGAAATTAAGATTTGTGCTATAGACAAGTTAAGCTACTAGGGATCTAAAGTATGGTTGTTCCAAGTGTTATATGTTCAGATAATAATGGAAAGTTAACTGGAACAATAGTTTGCTTAAAAATGTGCACAACAAACATTTGTATACAATTGCTTCTACGCGTAATGGAGATCTATTTTCAACGAAAGGTGGCACTAAAAAACCTGGTTTAATGGTGCTATCACAGAGCTTGAATGGCCCTTAATGGCAAGGAGGCATTTGTAATGCTTACACTGCAAACATCTGCTTTCTTTAAGATTCACCCTGTTACTCTGGAAATATTTGTTTTCACTTTTGGATTGAACATTTCTTTCACACCACATCAGATATTTCCAAGGTATCTTGGATTGAGACCAAGTTAATCTCAATCTTACCTGACTTTCTTTCCAGCCTCTGCAAGCATCTTTACCAGCTCAGCGATTGGGTACTGGGCCTTTGCAGCACAAAGTCCATAACCTAAAATATTTTAAAACAAAAGAAGGGAAAAATGAGTTAATTGTTAAACCTGTTTAAGAGAATTGTGAATATTTAGAGGTGCGTTTACACTGAACACAAATTTCTGTCAGTCGCCTGGTGTTAGTCACTTGAAATTATGCAGACATCACAGTGAAATTCCTGCCTGCTAACATCAAAGCGTCATCAAAAAGGAGGAGAGTCTTACTGGTGTTCTGGGCCCATGGGTCACAATTTATGAAGGGGCACAGTATATGGTGCAACACTGGTTACTGTATTTGTGTCCAACTTACTATGGCTGAGAGCAAGTAACACATCTATATGGGGATTTGATAGCCAAACAACAGCGTGAGCCTCACCAGGTCCGCTCCAGTTTCGCTAAGTATTATCACCTGTTCTAGGATGTGCTCTACCGCTGCAGGAGGACGGATCAACCGGCTCTGGGGACTTTGAGTGAAAAGATTTGTATCCAATACACTACTTAACTCTACTCTGAAACAAAATCCGGTTCCTTAACTGGTTAAGATAATGCACATTAGGAGAGAAGGTCAGGATTATTTAACTTCTGCAAAATTTCGCTTAGCTCAATCAATCCAATGTTTACAGTGCTGCTTCTCTCTGTAGGTCCGAAGCACCAATTAAGCGCTTGATACACATCCTTCGCATCGCCGATGTCAAGTTGCTGCTGAAACATGCTTTTAAATAGGAATTACATGGTGATCATTTGCTCCATTTGAAACCTTAAAAAAACTAAAACATTAAAGCAAAAAAAGCCAACTTTCATCCTGCAGGTACAGAGGATTTTATTTTATCACACAAAGGAGTTGCTAAATGTCTTTAAGTTTCCCTGTAGCCAGAAGAAAATTAAACATTACACAAAACATTGGTATAATTCAATCAGATCATCAAGATCTCATTTAGCTGATCCTGCATTCCTAAATTTTTTTTTTTAAGTTGTAACTGGGAGTTTATTTTGTTTGTTAGTAATTATACAATTTCTCCTGGGTGTTTTTTTTTTAAATTAATAATAACAAATAGTCTAATTAGCCCCATTTGTCTCTATATAATTGCATAAGCGGCACTGCTGTAGTGATTCCTACAGGGAGATTTCAGTGGACAATAACATTTTTTTTCCCCCTCGCTGTTCTTATGTGCAACCATATTTAGTACCGGTGCAACAAAAAGAAAACAATGTTTTGATTTTGTTAGGGATTATGCTGTAAATGTGATGTAAACATTGTTTTCTTCTCAAATCATAAAATAAATAGATAAGTAAAAAAAAAAAAAAAAAATATATGGATGCTCCACTCTTGGAATACTTTGACACAGGTGTATGGTGTCTCGCACACAAACATGCGTCAAACGGTTCAGTGATGTTTACAAGCCTTGCCACAACAGGCAGTCCAAAGCTGTCCTGTTACAACACATCAGTCAAGACGACGTGCCGCAAAAACCTCTCCAAAAACACACTTATCCGTCTTCCAACCAAACTATTTCTCACTTTCTTACCTCTCTTTACGGTATTTCTTTTGCCAGTTTTGCTGCCAATATTCTCACGGGTTTTCTTGCGTAAAGGAAAACACATGGTTCCAGACCATGAAGAGATGGTTCAGACAAAAGCCAGAAAAACACTTCTGTTTATCAAACAGGGCCTTAAGTGTTTCCACAGACGTCAATCAGCCAAAGCGACTGTGACGGCTCCAATTAGGAAGAACGGTTTGAATGGAAACATGGGCAATGACTAAAAGCTGGCACAGCATAATGATGCAACACTATTAGGCAGAGCACAGGCAAGTATTAGCTATTTATGGTATCGTTTCCAGCAGGTACTGTTGTATTCCAAATGTTTATAATGCAACATTACACGTGTTAGAGGGTACACATTTGAGTCGGACTCAATTTATTTTTTTAACCTTTCCTATTTTAAATTTTTGTTTTATCATTTTAATCCAGATTGGATATTTTAAATAAATTCAAATGTCTCACAAAACACATTCGACTTATTAGTTGCAGGATGATATTTGGGCATGCTTTTGCATTATATTAAAATGGGATTTAGTTTAAAATTAGCTTTTTGGTCACCCAGCATGTTTGTTGGTTTTTGATTTATGAAGAAAAAAACAAACAAAAAAAATATATATATTGTTTTATTTTAATCCCCTTTATCAGTCATTTTTATCTGTATTATTTGTTTTTACTTTAAGTTTGAGCCCATTTGTTTTGTTCGGATATTTTCAGAGTGCAATCCTGAATATCTTAACCTACATTTGATGCCTCGATTCTCTGCTACTGGGCCACGGGAGTGCTGTAATTTTGCAATTCTTGTAAATTACTGTGATTTCCTGTGAAGTTTTTTAGTAAATTGGTACTGTGCTCTATTACTGGAATGGCCAATTTGGAGAATAGGTGCTTTTAGTCTGTGTTTACATGTACCCATGCGATCAAGGCAGCTCTTTGGAACGGGACGGCATCACAACATTCTTATGGAAAGGACTGAAATGTTTTGGTTTTTTTCTGGGCCACCCAATAATACATGAAACAGCCAATTTAAAGCTAAGACCGCGGAAGGCAGTAACACATTCCTCCGTCAACCTAAATATAGGAAAAATTTGAAACAGACAAAGTTGTGTTTGAATCCATTGCATCAAGACTGACAAATCAACTACAGCCACGTTTTCTTAATAATAGTTGTGATACAAAATTAGAGAAAGGGAGATTAAAGAAAAAACAATCTTTGCTTAACCCTGAAAGGAAGGGTGAACAGAAAGGTCAAAGCATCGTGTTTTTCCACTCATGTACCAGACCCCTGTGTGTTTTACCTGGAGTGATGATTATGCTCTGAGCCTCTTTAATCATGTCGACAGTCTGCTCCACGTTGACCTCTGTGTGTGTCCCTGTGATCTCCATGGGCTTTCCTGTACCAGTGGAGGATGTGCCGTAACCTCCAAGGATCACATTAGCAAGTGAACGATTCATGGCCTGAAGAGACAGGAATGTTTACTTTTTCCTGCCCTTATAAAATTCACCTTAAATATCATGAGAAGGCAAAGAAAATATGTTGATTAAAAGCAGCCTAAACAGGCTTTTATTTAAAGTGGTAAAGAGTTGTTCCTGCACCCATATAGTGTTGTCTATCTGCAACCTGTAATGTGCAATCTGTACGCACATGCACTTGACAAAAAGATAGGATGCGTAGACTAATAGCACTCCATATGGATGAGCTATGGTGGATTTCTGACACCAGTGCGTGAAATTTGGGCAGAGCGGGGTGTCAGCGCTATCTGGTGGGGCTGCTGTTTACCGATAAAAAGTGATGGAGCCAATCTGCGGTCAGGAGGCTAACCTTGACTAGTTGGTTGAGTTGTAATTGTATTTAACCAATGTCTGCTAGGTTAAAGGCACACTATGCAACATTTTTCAGTTAATTAATGTGTTCCATAACGTTTTGGATGATTAAATGAGCCATTTCAGGTTGAACAAAGGTATTCTCGGCCACCCTGGTGGTCTGTGGGGGAAATACCGCACTTGCAATTGCAGGAGCCCTCGGCACGCACCCACAGGCTCAGAAGTCTTGCGAGAGTCGGTCTTGCTTTACGGCGAGAACTACTACATGCCCCCAGTTAAAAGCATGCTCATTGCTAGCACAGTGGCGATCTTTGTGCAGTTATCATGGCGGAACCAGCGTGAAAACAGCGAAAGCCCATGTCGGAGCAGGCAAGAAAGAGGAAAAGGGCTCCGGACAGAGAGAGGAGTAGTACACGGGTGAACATCGGGCAAGCTTTTTCCGAATGGCGAGAGCTAAAATAAAAAGAAGGCTGCAAGGCTGACGCGGACCTCGCGTTTCTGCTGATGCGATTGTAAGTAACATTGGAATGATTTCTCTCTCTCTCTGTGTGCATGTTCATACTTTCACTGTGTTAGTCATTCGTTGCGTTCGCCTGTCTGCTAAGCTCAAAACAACCACGCCTGGCTTGACGGAGAAACCAGGAGAACAGCTGTGCATATTTACGACAGTGCACTTTTACTTTCGCCCTCTGGGGGGAGCCTCGCTGGAAAATCAACACCGGTTGCATAGTATACCTTTAATGTGCTGAGAGGTGGAAGTTTTGGATATGGCCATGATGACGATGAAGGTTTAAGCAGAAAAATTGGAGCAACCGATAAACACATTTCAAGAATAAAGTTTGCCTTTTAGTTAATAAAAGGCTCAAATAATGATTAAGTTGGGGAACTAAGGGCACTGCTGGAACTAAACTCTGCTCTGCTTGCTTAGCGCGCTTTTACACCCTGTCTTTATGGCTGATTGTTGCTGATGCTTTGGTGTCTTTTCAGCTTCTTCTCCCATCCAACCAAATTTCTTCAGTGTTTTATGGTTTTGAAGTATAGCTGGTTTTAACAAACCCGTGATGTCACCACTTGGAGTATTGCAACATGGCGGCACCCTTACCAAATAATTATAAAACAAAGCTTTGTTTTTTTCTTTTATCTTTGTATTTTTTTACATTGGTATTAAACTTATTAAAAATTGTAAGACACAATCTCATGAGTTGAGTTAGATTGGTTGACGATGCAAATCCAAACTACTTACCACACACATAATATATGACAGAATGGCTCCAGATGAGCCAATGAGAGCTCCAACGATGGTAAGCAGGTTGTTGTTTAGCAGGAAGCCCTCAGCGCACAGGGCCCAGCCGGAGTAACTGTTGAGTACAGTAATGACTACCGGCATGTCGGCTCCTCCAATAGCTGCTGTCAGAGTAACACCCTGCAGGAGAGGAGAGAGAATAAAAAGATTTACCAAAAGGGGTGTTTTTGGAACAAAACTAGAATAAAATGACAGACAACAGTATTTCTCTTAATGTATTTTAATCAAAGAAAGGAGGGAGGGAGGGAACTAAAGAAGGTCAAAACTTGATACGTTTGTTTTTTTTTTCCTTCTAGGCTCTAACTGCAGAGGAAATCTCACCTAATGAAACATGTTGGAAATTAACTTTGCTCTTCTGCAACAGCGACACTGTTTCAGGTTGCAGGCATATTGCTGGTGCAAAGATACAAGTCAGACACTTGGAGATCTTCCAGTTATAGGAACCACAAAACATACATTACCATAAATTACTTTGCTGTTTGAGAAAAGAAAATCCAGACATGGTGAAAGAGCTTAAGCTAACTCAATATGTGGCTTGTGAGCCAACATTTGGAGGCCACTGATAAAGCACACAGGCAGAGACCACAAGGAACATTTAGATGTTTTTAGTCTGCTAATCCTGGAAGCAGAGAAACACAAGATAAAGACCCACAGGATCACCTCTGGCTATCAAATACAAGACGGGTAACCAAGATGTCTTTCGGATGCTTACCTGAAGTAGCTTAATGAAACTGTCCTTTTAAAAGCCATGAATGATAACAAAAACTAGAAATTTGCTCTGAACTCTCCTAATAAAACCAGCTGGTTTGTGATCTGATATTGTTAAATTTTGCCTCTTAAAAAATATATAAATTCCAACAAAGGAACTATTTTTCACAATTAGATGCACATGCTCTTTGTCCTTTTATCATCTGGACAGTTGCTGTTTTACAGGGGCCAACTGTCGTAACCAAAGTAGCGGCTCTTCCAAAACAAACCGAGCATTTCATTAATTTCTGTTCAGACATCATAAATGGTTCCTTCTGACCACATGCAAGGAGTATTTTTTTACTAGTTACTAGTGTAACACACACATGCACACAGATTTGTACAGTAGATGATTCATAATACTGTACTTGAAATACTGATTAGGCCCACAAGATAAAGAAACTGATATAATAATCAATAATCTCTATTGCTGGATGAAATGAAACCGAGACTCCAGCTGCTGAATTAGGCAAAAACATGTGCAAAACACTGGATTTGCTTCACTTCTTCTATAAATCATGGTCTAAAGTCTAAAATTTTAAGAAGTATCATATTAAAATGCAAAACTAAAGCAAAAGAAAAAAGAAAGAGCCAGAAACTTTGATTCCAGTCCTCAATGCCTGCATTGTGAACGTAGCCTAAAAGTTACTGGTTGGTAGGCATTAACTCTCACTTCTGATTCTTTTGTGAAATCCGATTCTTTTGCGCGGTTGTTCACATTTCCAAATATATGCGACTTGTATGTGATCTCATGTGAGAACTGTGTTCACACACCATAAGTCTCCCGCATGAGCAGTAGAGGACAAAATGACTTTAAAAGCAAGCGTGCTCTGTGTTTGCAGAAGTAAAGACGGATGGTAGTGCTGGAGCGCATCTCGCTTCTTTCATCTCTCCCAACCTCAGCCAGTGCCTTAACAATCTTTTCAAGAGGGTTGGGAAAAAAAAAGAAAAGACTGCTCTCCGCATTATCGTCCCACTTGGTTTTTGTTTTTCCTTCCCGCTTCTGTGGAGCAAGAAGCTGAACAGGGACCTTTGTTAAATATTAATGTTTTTTAGGTCGGATGAATGCGACCTGGCCGTTCAGCCACAGGTCGCTTTTGAAAAAAATCAGATCTGTGTCATTCAGACTGCCATGAAAAGATCAGATACAGGTCCAGATGTGCAACAAAAAAAAAAATATGGATTTGGGTCACTTCAGGCTGGTGGTCGAGGGCGTCTGTCCTGAAGGTTTTTGAGGTTTTCCTGCCTTAGCACAGGTGATTCTGATGACTGCATTTCAGCAAAAGCCTGTTAATCAGCCATCAATGAAAATCAGCTGTGCTGAAATAGGCAACCTCTAAAACCTGTAGGACAGCGGCCGTCGACGACCGACTTTGGTGATGCCCGCCTCTTTTCTAAAACACCTGAATCTAAAGGCTCAATCCCCTCATTTAGCTCAGCAGAGGCATGATAAGGAGCGACTCCTTGCTCTTGTGACTTGCCAGCCATTCAAGTGTGTTAAAAATGTGGTGCATCAAAAAGTTGCAGAATAGTAGCACCCCTGTTCTGTTCAAACCATCTCGACATATATAGTTTTGTGTATTTCATTCTAATTTATGAATCATATCCTTACAAAACATTTTTCAACAATACAAGACTGCTTAGGTAAATAGGCAATGGATGCTAAAAAAAAGCTGTTGTTCCAGCCTTCATTAGGAGATTCTGCTTGTTGATGTATCAGACAGGCTCAAAACCTTTCAAACCTGTAGGCGCTGAGATCTTATTAGTTGCTCAGGACCGTGTCGAATCTGTTTGCCTGTGACTTCCAGCTCTCTGCTCCACTCCAAATTCCCAGGCAGCCTGCTTCCTGTAAATTTACATCTACTAAAAATACCCACTTTTGTTGTTCATCTTCTTTTCTGTAAAAACTTTTTTTCTCCCTGCACAGCAAACATTTTCTCTGACTCCAAAAACGATGTCATAACTGGGGTTTAAACTGCGCTCTTACAGTTTAACCTAAACATTTTCATGTCCGGATTTCTCATCTCTACAAGAGAGGTAAGAAATAAACTGGTGAAGCATACCATGACAGCAGAGAGGGCGGAAACTGATCCTAAGCAGGTCATGCCTGTGGTGTAACTGGGATCCAGCATGTAGGGAATCATACCACCGACACTAGCTGCCATGAGAGTGGCATTGAGAGCGTGGCGACCAGGAAGCATCAAAGGAGCGCTGTTTAGCATACCTGGGGGGGAAAAACATAACAAGAGGGACAAAGCGATTAAAAAAAACAAAACAGATAATCCAATCTCCAGTGTGTTTTTATCATGATGATGCAATAAAATAACATTTTCTATTTCACCATTATATATAAATATATTAAAGCAAAAATCCTTCTATAAAACTAAAATGTAATCATAATAATGAGGTTACATTACTGCAAGTAATAATAAATGATACGACTGCGAGACTAAATGGCCCACAACAATGACAGGCCGCCTCTAATCTGCTCATCAGGGCCAACAACAGAATGATTGGCACCAATTAGCACCAGTGGGGAGTGTTGGCCTAGTGGGTTAGAGCAGTGCTTGTGCCCTGAGAATTTCTCATTTACAATTATTACACTCAACTAAAGGGATCAGGGGAAATTCTCTACCAACTCTGTGTGTTTTGTTTTGTGTTCTCCCTCAAGTTCCTCAAGGTAACCTAAGGGAGATTTTACTCCATTTACTTGAAAGTAATTAGGAACTATTCTCTGATGAAGAATCTCAAGTAGGACTGAAACAATCAGATTTAAATATATGGAGTATAGAGACTTTAAAACATGCCCTTAGCTGACAGACAAATCCATTTAGAGGACAAATTATAACAACATTAAAAAAAATCTAAAAAAAAAATCTTAGTCCATTAATATGCTCCACCCAGATCTTCTTAAGTGTACAAGTTTCCCTTCGTTTAAATTCTGTAAAAACTCTTCTTTAAGGAAACTTTGCTATCAGATTATTAAATGAAAAAAATAATCGACAGATTAACTGATTACCAAAATGATTGTTAGTAGCAACCCTAATCTCAAGCCAGGTTTCTATGTAGGTTATTTTAATTTTCCATGCCTTTGCAGCTTCCAGGTCAGAGAATTCTTAACCTTTTTAGGGAGTTTTTAAAGTATACATAATAAAATGCTCCATATTAATGGACAGAAAAACAAACAGAAGAAGCTACAAAAAGATGGAGAGGAGAATGGATGGACAAATAGTACAAAAGGGATGAAAAAAGGAGGGATGACAAAATGTATGACTGATAAATGGATATAGAGATCAATAAATGGATGCATTAAAGACCAAACAGAAGATGGACAAAGATTGATGATGCACATCCAGATACATGGATGGATGACCTAATTCCTATTTTCCTTTTTTTTTCAGAATTATAAGGAGTCCTAAAGTTTAACATTTACCCATAGCACATTGGAATTACCAAGAAAAAGCTTGGTAATTCCAAGTAGTGTCTGTAGTGACAGACAACATCCTTTCCATAAGTGGGGGTTAAGCAGCGAATAGGTTCAGATGGTTACAGTGCTGCGAACGACTGGTCTCTCTTTCTCACCTTGCAGTTTGCCGTATGCCACCAAAGAGCCGCTGAAAGTGATTCCGCCAATGTAAGTGCCGAGGTAAGCAACTATTTTGGTAAGGTTGGCTGCGGGGTCCGTGGCAAAGTGAGGGTACTCGATCATATATTCGGCCACGCAGGTGAGAACAGCAGCCAGCCCGACCAAGCTGTGGAACGCAGCAACAAGCTGAGGCAAGTCGCTGATCTCAATCTTCTTAGCGATGGCTAAACCTGGAGACAGAAAGAAAAAGAAGATGAATAAATAAAACAGAATGCCCCTTGGGGTCTTGGGTATAAAAACCACGAGAATCACGAGCACGCACACTCAGAGCACTGCTGGGAAACGGGCCCTGTGGAAGAGCCAGGTGCTGCTGATGAGGCCCACTTTGGGAATAGTTTCTGTTGTTCTACAATGAGTGTGTTTGTGGACACACATGTCCTGCAGGAAGCCTTTCAACAAAGCTATATCTGGTAAAGAGCATTATTATCTGCGTAGATAGTTTAGTCTGGTCTTCAGATTTGTTACTGGAACAATTAGCATTTTAATGCTCCAACTGTCCCAAAGCGGAGAGAGAAAGTGAGTAATAACTGATGCTGGTTTTTCTGACAGACCTCCAGCATCTGGCTGGAGTTAGTCATGCTGTGTTTGATGTAAACATCACAAACTCTCTGCACACCTGCTTTGTAACTTTCCCAAGCTTGGAAAACAACACAAAACTTGCGTCCATCTGCTGCAACACTGCTCTGCGAGTATTCAGGTTTTCCCTGAGAGTCTCTCAGATTATCCTTTTAAAGTAAAGGAAAACACTCTTACCAGCAGTTCCACCCACAGCCATGGCTGCGCTCATCTGTGCCAGGAGCTCAGGATTTGGTTTAAGGGCACCCAGAGTGGCAGCAATCCCTCCTGCGACTCCAATCATTCCCAGAGCGTTACCCAGCCGAGCTGTGGTCTGGTTGGAAAGACCAGCAAGGGCACCGACACAACACAGACCAGAGCCCAAATACATCATCTGTAAGGGAAAAATAAAGACCCAATAATTTCAGCTGGAAATTCCTGTGCACCATCTGGATCAATAAAGGGATACACTCAAATGTCTGTTTTCACTATTTTTGAGAGGGGGAGTTCAAAGGGAAAAGGGAGACGTGGCATCAGCATCTTGCTGCACCTGTTCAATGTTGTATCCAGACTGCAGAGCAGCAGCGTAGCCTCCAACAAAAACACCCGCTGGAAGCAGATAGAGGTAGTTGTACTCAGGAGGATCAGTAGACCGTTTGAACATGTCCAACATCCTCTGGGTCACCAGGAAACCACCTTGGAGGGAGACGGGGGAAAAAAAGCAAAATATTCAATTGCCTTAATTGAAAAAAAAAAAATAAATCATCAATATATTGCAGTGAGTATGCTTTAACGTAGAGCTGGGCAATATATCGAATATACTCAATGAACCTTGAGTTTCCCGACGAATGACAGTTAAAATGACTGTATCGCAACCATTGAGTACAAATTCACATGACATTAAGCCACCTGCATCTATTTGACACAGTTTTATTTTCTCCACACACTTTGAATGCACCTCCCCTTGAACCCCTCCTCCACACAGGATTAATTTTTGTGCGGTATGCACACTACAGCAACCAGCAAACGAAATCTGGCCACAGTGGGTGTTTCAGCTACGCAATATATGGCAGTGGTTTGGATTGCCGAGGAAGTCAAACAAAAGGCGGCCATTAGAAAAAGATAGCAGTACAAATTTATTCCACCACCTCAAAAGCCGTCAGCTGCAAAATTAAGAATGTTGTAAACCCCGCATGTCAGCGTCTCCCCGCACACCAATCAAAGGCTTAGATAAATCAGCTGTGAAGCAGATGACGTTAGACTCGTCATTAGGGCTGCAACAACGAATCGATAAAAATCGACTTCTAAAAGCGTTGGCAACGAATTTCATCATCGATTAGTTGTGTCGCGCGATTAATGCGTCATCCTCCGCGCCGTCATCACTGCCTCTTGACTGAAAGAGGAAGAAAGAAAAAATACGGCAGAGCGAGCCAGCGCCGCAGGTGCAGTGTTACCAACTCAGCGACTTTTCAGACCCCTCCAGCGACTATTTTTCAAAAAAGCGACTAGCGACAAATCTGGCGACTTTTTTCGGTGTCACTGGCGGCTTTTGGAGACTCTTACGTGAAAGCATGCATCGTTCCTACTCTGCCGTGGGGCCCCTCCCCCACCCCAACCGCGTTTTCCCGCAGGAGTCCCTCTCAGCGCTGCAGTCAGAGCCTCAGCATCCAGACTGCAAATGAAGCGCGCATGCACCGGGATTGACGGCGCAAATTGATCACAATAATTAAAATAGCCTGCGCTTTGTGAAGTGAAAAAAGTGATAACATGCAACTTTTGTCAAAAGAAATTAACATGGCACGGAACCACCATGTTTGTTTGGTTTTAAAGTGAGGAAACGTAACGTTAGTTTCTCAGGTAGCTCATCTGATGCTTTCCTTACCTTGTTAGTAGGTTACAGACAGTGATAAGGTTGGCTACTTATTTTACTTTTAATTTCATTTGAATTAGCTTAAGCAGCGTTTACATTTACTTTATAAATAAATTAACTTGCAAATTATGAGGGCAAGGCTTTTAAAGTTTAAATCTTCTGGCAAAGATAAAGTAAAGAAGATCCTGCAATTTATGGAAGTAAAGCAGAATAAAATCCAGCAAGATCAGTAATATGTCAATTAATTATATTTGCCACATTTCCATGTAAATTGGAGTCTTTAGAGGATGTGTTTTTTTTAGCACCCCTAGTTCTCTCATTTTTATTCCAAATACAATTTATAATTTGAATCACAGGGCTATTTTTATCTCTATGGTTCAGTATTTTCTCAAGTAGCAACTTTAACTGCTATACTTTCCTGTCTTAAAAGGCAGAACTCTTCTAGTCTAAAAAAAACTCTTTTTGCGCTTTATGAAACAAAGTACCCTATATTTTGTGGATGTACAGCTACATTTCTCATGTAAGTTTGCGTAGTTTTAACACAAACATTTATTTTTCATATTGCACCAGTACAGTTAATGAGCAACCTGTACTTGTGTGCTTGTTTGTTCTGTCTAAAATGTTTATTTTGGAATAAAGAGGTTAATAAAAAAAAATATTTTTTGTCCGATTCATCGATTGATCGAAAAAATAATCGTCCGATTCATCGATTTTTAAAATAATCGTTAGTTGCAGCCCTACTCGTCATCTGAGAAAGTGATTACATATGAGAGAAAAAGGAAGAGATGCAGGGAAATCAAAGAACCTATTTATTACATTATTTAAAATGTTTTAAAAACTAATACCTGTGATGTGTTGTGGTCTTCTTAAGATGTTTTGCAGGCATTTTATAAACTTGGCAATGTTCTAAATTTTACAACTTTTTGCGTTACTTTAAAATTCCCAGCACGTAAAGGTCAATGCAAATATTTTTGAGATAATGCTCAAATTTTTTGGACCGTATTTCAACTTTTTTTTTTTGTAAATTGAGGTTATTTACTTTTTTCAGACTGCATTTTTTTTAATGCACAAAATAACCCTTTTTTATTTTAAATTTTATTTAAGGAGTTCATGATCATATAGGGTATGATCATATAGGGTATTTGGTGCTGGTCCTTAAAGGAATAGTACACCCAAAACATGATTAGCCTTAATTTTCTACTCACCCCCATGCTGAACAACACTCTGGAGTACTTTTTTGATATCTCAAATGCATCTGGAGATCTGGGAGGCTTCTTGCTGTCTGCTGACATTCAAATAATGGAGGTCTATTGTGACCGAGACAGAAAGGTCCATAAAAGTCCACAAAAAACGTGTCAATATTCCTCCATACTACTCGTCCAATGTATTCCAAGTGTCCTGAGTGGGTAGCATCCAGAATTTACTCGAAACGAAGTCATTTAGAATGTTTTTAGAGCATAAACAGTAGTGTATAGGATTTCCTGAAAGCGCGCACTAGCGCGCTCACGACGTTACGGAAGCCGGCAGACCAAACCAGATGAGAGTGCGCATTCAGCGTCTGCTCTGCCAATAATGCAAGCGTAGAAGAAGAAATGTGCTGTTTACCTGTGCAAAGAAAGAAACAACGAAAGAAAAATGTCTGAGGACTTCAGTGTTGAGGAAGAGCATGAGTTCTTTGCCGAGCTGAATGCGCTGGTTTGGTCTGCCGGCTTCCGTAGCGTCGTGAGCGCGCATGTGCGCGCTTTCAGGAAATCCTATACACTACTGTTTATGCTCTAAAAACATTCTAAATGACTTCGTTTCGAGTAAATTCTGGATGCTACCCACTCAGGACACTTGGAATACATTGGACGAGCAGTATGGACGAATATTGACACGTTTTTTGTGGACTTTTATGGACCTTTCTGTCTCGGTCACAATAGACCTCCATTATTTGAATGTCAGCAGACAGCAAGAATCCTCCCAGATCTCCAGATGCATTTGAGATATCAAAAAAGTACTCCAGAGTGTTGTTCAGCATGGGGGTGAGTAGAAAATGAAGGCTAATCATGTTTTGGGTGTACTATTCCTTTAAGGTCTCTGAATAGGGTGTGTAAGATTGGTTGGGCTGAAAATGGCATATTTGCTGTTCTATGGGCCCTAATGCAAGCCTGGTTATAAGCCCTAGAATGAAAATACAGGTTTTCTTCCTTTTATGGTATGTTCATGAATATTAAAATGAGCTGTGCGCTGATTGGTTGGTTTACAACAAGCCAAGCTGCTGAGCAAAGACGCATCATAGCGACAAGCACTCACTCACTGAAACATCAAGATTATTGAAATGGTAGGGTGACCAGTCGTCCTCTTTTTCCCCAGAAATGTCCTAATTTTCATGCCTAAAAAAATATTCAGGGGGAATTTCAAAATGGTCCAGGATTTTTGGTCGACTACTGTGCAGCACATAGTCTAAACACACCGGGCACCGCATGGTTCTGGCTAATTTGTAATAGAGAAACTGTCTAGTAAACCCAACTGTAGGCTAAACAGCTAAACTGGTGTCTTACATTTTCCTCTATTCATGTTCTTGGGCCAGTAAACCAGTGGGCTGGTCTGTATGTCAATTTCAGGGTGTGACGAAAGTACAGGCCAGAACCAAATAAGGCAACATCGTTTTGTTTGGATTCGCCTGTTTTATGGTGAAAGATTGGAATAGTGAGATTTGCAGAGAAAGGAGGTGTCGATAGGGTTCGAACTTCTCTGGACGTCCATTTTACCAACTGAACTATCGTTATTCATCTAAGACAATGTAAACTCGGTTTTGCATTCTATGGCTCGTTTAAGTATTGTGTGTCTTCGCTTTTTTCCAGTTTGGTTGATGGGATCTTATTAAAGATCTAATACTGACACCGAAAGACATACTGTGGCAGCATTATAAGTGAAAAGCTTTGAGCTAGTAAAAATAAAAGGTTTTGAATTTGAAACCAAAGTTTGGGTGAAGGACTGCTTAGTGGGGCAGTGGGTAGCCATGCTATCTTGCAGCAAGAAGGTTCTGGGTTCGATTCCGGGCCCAGGGTCTTTCTGTTAGGCAAATTGACTTCTCTAAATTGTCCTTACGTGTGAGTGTGTGCGTGAATGGTTGTTTGTCGTGTGTGTCTCTGTGTTGCCCTGCGATGGACTAGCGACCTGTCCAGGGTGTACCTGCCTCTCGCCCGTAGACAGCAAGAGATAGGCACAAGCACCCCTCAACACCCCGCTTGGGATAAGCGTGACGGAAAATAGATGGAATAGATGGAAGTTTGAAGTATATCAGTGCAATTTTATACACTCTATTGTTTTGAAGGTAATTTAAACATATTGTGATATGCATCGTGTATCGCGATATAGCCAAATATATTGTGATATTAGATTTTTTTTCATATTGCCCTGCCCTACTTTAACATGGACAGTTTTACTATGCCTGACAAATGTTCATCTAACTGGACCAGTATCCCATGAAGGCCTCCAGTTTGCATACAGAGAATTAAGTGTGGAAGAACACACTTCCCATGGCAATTAGGAGAGTGATGAGTATACTAATAATTTCAGGAATTATTTATAATTGCAACTGGAGATAAATGACTGGATGTGTGTGGTCCAAGCCTTAACCACTGACTCTGGTTAGAACAGACGGGTGAGCTTAGATTATGTTATAGTAGAATTGACACAAACCAAGTCGATCACCAGCTTATGTTGAGATTTTTGGCTCAGCGTTGGTATAACTGGCAGAAGTCGCTATGAGACGTTTAGGTGACTCACCAGCAATGTTGACTGAAGAGATGAAGGCAGCAAGCACGGCCAGTGTCTCTGCACTACTAGATGGCAAGTAGCCCCCTCCCATCAGGGACAGACCACCCACAGCTGTCAGACCTGCAGACCACATATATATATACGTCAGTGTTCATGAAATTACGTTTTCATAATAAATGACATGGCAATAAAACCCTTGGTGAAGCTGATGAATAAAAGGGAGGAACTCTAAACTTTGAATCAACACTTATTAGATTTGTTTATCAGACCTTCTACAGACACAAGGCACAAAAAAACTGTTTGCCTGCCGGACTGGAAAAAGAAAGAAAGAGGGAGATAGAATGATAAAAAGCAAGAGGAGAGTTTGCGAGTGAGTGAGTTTGTGCGTTTGAACCAAAAAGACCCAGGAAACCTTGATAACATCATCCCTGTAATGATTTACAGGAAATAAGATGCAATACACAGCACCGTGAGCTCGCTTTCACACAGACTTGTGTGCTTTTTAGGTTGAGCGACAGGTGTGTGCGTTTGTGTGCATGCATGTTTGTGGTTCAAGACTGCAATCCTAGATTAGCCCCTCGGCTAAGGGGAAAAAAGAAAAAGTGGAAGTTTAACCTTATTTCTCTGCCAAGGCTGGCTTTACAATCATGTTTGTATATCAGACCTTATACAAAGTTTCCAGTGTTGCCAAACATCATTCCTCAACGTTTATTATGTAATTACAAGCTCATTTAAGATCCGTACTAAAATCAAAGAGGTGAACAAAGCAAGAAACAATATCAAGATATGGTGGTAGAAGACGATCTGGCAGAATGACAAGCTTTACAAACATCTGAATATAGGGTTTCTACACATTCTTCAAGTTAAATAACCTTACATTGCACATTTCTTAGTTCATATACAAAAGCTCAGTGAGCAAAAAAAAATTGGGAAAATAAACCAAATGTAAGATGCATGATGATGGACAAAGGGACAGATGCTGAGAAACACAAAGGATGGATGAATAAACAACTTAAACAGATAACAGAGAGATAGATGATGGACAAACAAATTAAGATCACAAACAAACAGGGCTGCAGCTATACATCATTTGTCTAGCCATTATTTTTTCAACCAATCTAAAAATAGATACTGCATTTAAATATTCTGAAACAAACTTTGGTTGGGGCATAAAAATTTACCCTTTAATTGAAAATTGTTTAATTCATGGTTTTAATATGTCAAGTTGCCCCATTTACACTGGTCTTTTGAAACCTTGCAGAGATCCCTCCAAGCACGGTAACCGAGATAACTGAGTGTAAATGGAACACAACTGAACTGAACCGTGCCAGACACAACCAAACTGCGCTAAATCTGGAACTAGTTCAACAGTAGGGCTCAGCACGGTTCAGTTGTGGCTCAGTTCTCTGATAACATGGGCAGACTGTGTCATCTCTTATTTAAAGTCAGCTGACTCTTTCCCCAGGTTTTCCGGCGTGTTCGGCTTTGCAATTCCCAGATCTTTTCACCTGTTCACAACATGGACTTCTTCTCAGCCTATTACAATAACTGGTATCAAAAGAACGTGGTGTGACCTGGGATAATGCAGAGACATTGAAATTTGGGCGAAGGACACTGATCCGGGCACATAAGTTCCTAAATGTTATGGGTGCCGCCATTTTTGTTTGCATAATTCCCGCCTTGAGAGTAGTATCATACAATGCCAATAGGAGGTGAGGAACCATGCTAGCTTGATGTGTAAATGGTTGTAAGAATCAAGCTCGGCATGCTTAACTGATCCAAACTCTGTCCGAACTCAGCTCGGATCGGTTTCAGAGGGGTAGTGTAATTGGGACATTATCTAAACAAGATCAATCTAGATGCACAGAAAGAAAAAAAAAAAATCACTTTTGTCTCTTTTACCCTAAAATTATTTCCCATAACACTTAGAAAGTATTGAGATGTTAAATGAGAAATGGGAACCAGGTGTTTGTTTTGCTGTCGTTTTTGACCACCAGATGTTATCCTATTGAATTATTAAGACTAACTATAACTGAGGTGTTCTGTGTTCTTCTACTGCCTCTTGGATGAGTGGTCGGGGCCCTTTTGGAGTAATATGGTTGCTCCAAGGAAAGTTCAACACTGTTCCACGTTTTCTACACTTGTTGATATATGCACTCACTGCAAATCACTGGAGACTCAAAAACTTAAACTTGGCTTTAATCAGAGAATCAGAATGCATTTATAGCCATTTTATTCATTACACGGAAAAGCCACCAATATCAGTGTAACCTCACTAGGATTTTAGAGTTAAACAGCCTTGTTTCTCATCTGTTCTTTAATTCTGAGGTTTGTATAATCAATTTGCTTCTAATATTATTTAACCTACTAAAGAAAAGATTTAGGGCCTTTACAGGCCATGCAGTAATTGGGTCTGGTTCTGGAAGAAGATATTTAACCAAAAAGTTGATGAAAGTTGCTTAATATTCCTCACAGATAACCGAGAAGCAAGCTGATATAAAAGCTATCCAAATAATGAAGGCACGAACTTTCAAGAAAAAAATCCAATAGATAAATGACAGAAAATGAATCACTGGTGATACGAAATATTGAAAATCAAAACGCTACACACCTAATTTTAGGCCCAAAGGGAGTGTCTGGCCCTAACAATGAACATATCAGTCAATAAGCCAAAAAACACCATCAGACAAATCTTGATGCCAACTATGACACAAACACAGGTGTAGATGATATTTTGACTCTGTGACAAACATTTGATCTCCTCGAACAAATAGGTAGACACTGAGTCAGGGCTCTCAAATAGATGAAAGCTTCTCTCTCCAGCTGGCAGATGTGACAAATGATCTTTAGTTTTCAACTATATACAAGACCATTATCATATATTAATGACAAAAGAAATAACATAACTGTCCAGCACTAAAACCTCCCCCACTCTGTCTGCCAACCAAAAAGTTTTTGACTCCATTCGTACACGCCCTGCAAAAAAGACAAGAAGAAGATCTGACTACTTCGATGACCCATCCAGTGATATGTGTGAAACATTTATACAACCACAGAAAGTCTGGCCAAAGAACATAGAGAAAGTAAAAGAAAAGGACCAGGTGGCAGGCAGTACAAAAAAAAATCTTTGAAATAAAATTCAGGCTCAGTTCCCCTTTTCATCCAATGTTAAAATGAAGCTTGTGTTTTTCAGAGAAATAAATTAAAACATTTAAAAAATCTTCAAATCACAAGCAGACAAACAGAAGAACCAACCTCTTAAAGGGGCTACTTGAATTAAGGACTTAAGTTTTACATTTAAAATAAGTGTCAAATGTTAGTTGACATGTTGTTAGTTGATAAACTGTTTGGGCTTGATAACTGATATCCAACCGTGTTCAAGAGGGAAGAACTCAATGAACTTTGAAGATCACCAACAGAGTGAGACTTCCTGTTTCTTCATGATCAAAGCTCTGAGAACACGCGTACATGTAGCCCCTCAACCTTTCACTGACAAAAAACAACAACATAAAAATAGGATGTTGTCCTGACATCCAACTCGCTCAGGTCTCTTCCTTGGTTTCAATTTCTGACACGTTACGGCTCATCAATGGTAATACAAGTTATCTGAAAATACTTTAATAAGAGAAATTAACACCAAAGATGATTTGGAGCCTTTTGTTACAGGGTCACCACATACTTTTGAACTAACATTTAAAAAGTCCCCTTTTTAAGCAATAATGGATGGACAGTCTGAACCTCCCTGAAATATCTAAACTCCCAGATGAATGGAAGAAAAAAAACTAACATAGGGAAAAGAAATATGCAGATGGATCGAACAGACAATGGAGGAAAAGTTAAATGAATAAATAGATGCAAAAACTACAAGGTGATGGATCGATATAGAATAAATGGAAAGCTGGACGGTAATAGATGGGTGAATGGTTCAATAAGAAAGGACATATAGATGGACACACCGGCTGACAGATGGCCGAATGGACAGATAAATAGGTTGATGGATGCACAAACTAAAGGAACAGATGACAAATGATAAAACAATGGAAAGATACCTTGGAGGGTTGGTAGATTGATTGAAAAACGAAAAAACCAAAGACTAGACAGATGGGTGGGGCACCCATTTTTTTTCATATAATAATTACGGAACAAATGAAGTGTAGAAATCTACATTTTCTAAACCTGTCATATTTACATATTTATCCATACCACATTTTTCTTAACTCCCTTGTCAAACCTTAATGAGTTAGCCAGCGTAAGCAGACGTATGAAAAATCTGGCCAAAATGCTAGCATACGTTGGATAAGTTATTGGTCAGTTATGTATGAGTTATAAACCAGCTGAAGCACGCTGCAAAACACTGGCACACGTCGACATACAGCCAGTACATCTTGATGCCAGCGTATGTCATATGTGGGCCATAAGTTACAGGTAAGTTATCTGATCATATACACTCTCACATAAAATAAGTGAAAGTTTCTCATAAGTTGTGGCTTATCCAAAACTTATGCGTAATTAGTCAAGGACTTATCTCCAACGCATAACATATTTGATGTGTTCCAAACGACCGCTGAAAGTGTTTCTAACTAAGAGCTACTGTATAATGGCATACTGGCAGCGTTTTTGGTATTTCACAGAAGGAAACCGTCAGTGCTCCTCCAGACTTCATCCCCATCGTAGGGTGAGTGAGAAGGTCAGTGTGAGGGATCCTCCCTGCGTTCACGCCACAACCACGACCAACAAACTTCCTAGCAGACATGGCTCTGAATCTGATGCGTCTGCAAACCTTCTTTATTTATTTATTTATTATTCTTTTATGGCAAACAGTAAACAGTAGCTAGGTTAATACTGCGATCAAAGAAATAATTTTATGCAGGCCGAGCACCTCCGGGCGCTTCACTGCTTCCCTCATGTTTGTGACATTTTATGGGCATTACGCTGGCGTGTCTTTTCCATAAGTTAAGCTGTTGTTGAACATACGCTCTGGACTCGTTATGAATACTCTATTTATACGCTCAAAATTGGAGAAAAAAAAAGACATAGAAAGTTCAGCATATGCCAGTGTTTTAAAAGATTCTGGGATGTCAGGCATACGCTGGCTAAATCGTCAAGGTCTAACAGGGGATTAAGACAATGTAGGAGTCCTGTTTGTTCCTAACAGACACACACCTCTTTTTGGGATAATAACCCACCCCCCCTCAACTAACCTGAGATGGCATTGGTGACAGACATGAGCGGAGAGTGCAGAGCAGGTGTGACGCCCCAAACTGTGTGGTATCCCACGATGCCAGCCAGACCAAAGGTAGTGACCATCTGAGTGAAGGCGGCGTTAGGAGCCGACAAGCCCAGACCAAGCAGGGTGCCGATACCTGAACACAGACACAGTAAACAAATTCAGAGCTGCCTGTGAGACATCAAAGCAGGTTTCAGGAAAACACAAGTCTCTCTTGGGCTCCAACCTAAGTTCCGTTATACTCATTTCAAATTGAAATAAATTTAAGAAGCCCTGGGGTTTAATAGAAATAATTTGGAATTAAAACCACACACTTGTCTTTATAGAACCTTAAAGCTGAAATAGCACAGACTAAGAACCAAGGAAAAATAGTGGCAATAAAAGTGTTTTTGTTTTTTTTCCTAAATGCCTAACCTAGACAAATTAAAGATAACAGGATTTTAAAAATGTATTCAAAAAACCTGCTCCAGGGTGAAACTCTGAGGTGACAATCTTAAACATGACAAAGAGCTGAAACATGCAGCCATGAACACACCAACCGAACGGAGCCTGAGGGGATAGTGATGTGCTATATTTGTCGAGATGTATTACAGAGGACCTGAGAATGGAAAGTAATAAGTTGTGAATAGTCATAAACATATAAATTTTTCATTTTTTTTAAAACCTCCATTTATTGCTCTTAATTTTTAACATTCTTCGCTTGTATAGAATTTGAGAAAAACGTCCTATATTTGAAACAGGAATACAACATCAAAAGTGGCAGAAGTAAAAGGCTAAATCATTTTGAATGAATGAATTCTTCAGTAATAACTATTTTATTGAGAAAAAAAAAAAAAAAAAAAATGTGTATATATATATATATATATATATATATATATATATATATATATACACATACACAAAGAGTTCATTTGCAAAAACATAGAACTATAAAAATTATTTAAAAAACACACTTTTCATTAGCAACACCTTGCAAAGAGTAAATTACATGCTTCAGCTCCTTTTTTTTTTCCTTTCAAAAATGATATTTATCTGTTTTTGCAAGTGAACTCTTCATTTATAACAGTTTGCAGTGAAATGGTTTTAGTTTGTTTTTGTTTTTTTCTAAAACAATGCCATGAAACTAAATTCCTAAGCAGAATATGACTAAAAATACTTAACTGTGCAATAGTAATAATAAATATCTCTAACTTCATGCATGCATGTTTGTTTTTGTTATTAAATTATGGATATTTTTGTAAAAGCCATCTATCCATTCTGATAAAGAGCCATTTAAAGTGTAAGTTACTATTGGAAGCAGTGGCTATGTACTGGAGCAGGAAACAGGCCAACATCTAGAAAAAAACTGAAACCTACATTACATGCGGTTGACTCACACCATGCGCTGTGCAGCATTATGAGAACCCCTCACCCCAACTCTACTTCAAACGACCAGTATAAAACGTTTTTTACAATGCAAACTTCCTGAGACCAACAGGGTGCATGTGTGTCTGTGTGTGTATGCGCCTTCGAAATGTGCCCGTCAGTTCTAGTCTCCAGCACACATTCCTGCAGCGACTTAAAAAGCTGCTTGTTAACCCGTCCTTCACCTTTCAGTACACCTCCGCCTCCCTCAGGAGCCACTGCTAACCATTAACAGTGATGAAAGAGAAATCTGGACATGTGTAATTTTCCCTAATGAAGAATCAAATTATAGTAGCACTATCAGACTCGCCCAAACTACAAACCTCCAGTGTACAAGCTAGCTTGGGTGAGTGTAGCCCTGAAGGGGGAGATCTGTGCAGCCTTCTCCGCCTCCAACTCCTGAACGCTCTTGGGTTTAGGAGGTGCCGCAGTGGGAACGTTGTTGGGCTGCGGAGCGGGGAACAAGTTCTTTCCATTCTAGAAACAAAAGAAGGGACAGATAAAAAAATTAAAATAGAAAAATGAAACTGTTCAAAGACATTATGTCACAATTGTGGCTTTTAAATACTATATTAAAGATAAATGAGGTCATTAAGAAGTGGGAGGGATGTTGTATCAAAGGAACATTTTGTTATTTTGTTATAATTTGTTGTCAAATTATTGTGTTTAAAGTTATAAAGTAGTACAATTACACATATCAAGGACATTTACAGGTTTTTTTTAACATTGGTGGTAAGCAAAAATAAGGGTATGGCCTTATCTGTAGCTGTAAACAGACTGAGAGCAGAGGGAATAGTTTTGTCCTTGAGGGACACCTAGTGACTAATGAAGGCATCTACATGCTCCGATTTATTCTCTGCATTTTACTTTGTAAAATAAACTCACTGGTAAAGAGATTTAAAACACAGAGCAGAGGTTTAACAGTACATATACTTTTTGGAAAGAGGGTTAAAGAGCAACTCCCTGCAGACATCAGATTTTACAATGAAAACAAAGCTCAGAATCGTAATAAATGCCGACAACATTTTAGAGCTGCAAGCTCCTCAAATATGTTGTTTTTATAGCTTATTAACAAGCCCGATTAAAATGTCTTGATGAAGACCCATTCACCACGTCCATACAGATGTCTGTTTGATACACGATCCAACAAAAAAAATAAATAGATGCTGTTTTAGCAGAGAGGAATCCTGATGCCCTCTAGTTTTGTATCATGTGGGCAAACGTAGCATTTAGTGTAATAAATGCAGCTGCTACAAAGAGGAACCAATGAAAACGGAGTTCAAAATTTATTCTCACATTGACTATGTGCATAGTGGAGCTGTCCAAAATACAATATAATGACAATTTGTTTTTTTCTCAAAACAAATGACCATACACATCTCCCTAAAAATTAGGAAACTCAATTTTCACAGAAAGTAGGTATTTAAATAATGTTTTACATCAGGTGTGGGAGGAGTATTTATTTTCAACTTAAAATACTTTATTTAGATACATGTTAACCTTTAAACAATATTAAGGCCATGCTTTTGTTGTTTTGTATTAGTGTATGAGAGAATCCTTTGTTTTAAATTCAATCAACTTTAAGTTTGACATTTGCTTTGATGGGCAGATAGGTGATAGGTGTAGTTATAGAACAGAGAATTCTTGTTTCGTTCCAAATCCAGTGGACTGGTTGCCTTAAAGCAACCTAACTTGAGTCGTTTGCTTTTTTGTGTTCTCGTTTTCAGTTCAAGAGAAAAACTTCTCACTCTTTTCTTTTTCAACATTATTGTTGCTTTAAAATCAATATACACACTAAACTCCATCATATTTGTACTGCATTTCAATGCATCAACAAAAAAAAAAAAAGACAAACAATGGTTAAGACCTTGTACCTGCATGACAATGGAGCCCCGCACAACGTGATCCATGGTCCCATAATCAAAAGCCTCCTTGACATCAAGGTAAAAGTTTTCCTTATCAGGGCTGATTGCTCGCAGCAGCTTAGTGATGTTGTTGGAGTACAGAGTGCTGGACTGTGTCGGCAAGCGACTGGGCAGGTCTGTGTAGCCAATGTGAGTCACTCCCTAAAATAATCACAAATACAGAATGAGAAAATAGTTACTTTAAAAAAAAAAAGCAAAATAAATTACATGCAACTCGTTTAAATAAAATTTTAGCTGTTTAACCATGTTTGTATCAGAGCATCAGCATAGCCATGCTTCTGTCACCTCATTTTAAAAGCACCTTGTATCTAGTGAATCATGAGACTGTAGTTTATACATTCAGCTTATTATTTTTAATCTAAATATCTGGCTAACCCTAACCCTGGCTAAAAAAAAAATTAGAAGAGACTTTAGTGAATGAAAGCCATCACTGCATGAGGTAAAAGTAACAAAAGCCATAGCAATGAGGAAAAGGTAATGACTATTTGATATTGGAGAACTTTTGATAAAATACTAAATTAGTGTGGTTTTAGTTTATTGCAATCACCCACCTCTGATAGTGAGTAAATATTTGAATTGGACACATTCAATGCAATTCTACAAAGTGATATTGTGATGACGGTTTTAAATAAATGGCAATCCATTTCATAAGCATAAAATCTGATTCAGGAGTGGGCACTGTGGTGGCACGTTAGTTTGTGACCCATGATGTGTAGGGGCCTGTCCTCCAAATGACCTGTTAACTTTAACCAAGTCCTCAACACAATCTCAACTTTCAAATAAATGCCACTAATGCAAAAAAAGAAGAAAAAAAAACCTTAAAAGAAAATATATATATAATTTGCTGAATGCATGCAAAACTGGCTGCAAGGTGGTGCAGTTTGCATCACTGTTGCCTTGCAGCAACTCACCTTGTATACGGAAAGCTCTCCTGGAACCGTGGTCTCAATGTTTCCTCCAGCTTCAGCAGCCAAATCCACCACAACTGAACCGTCCTTCATGCTCTCTACCATTGGTTTGGTGATAAGAATTGGAGCCCGCCTACCTGCAGTATCACAGCATTAAAGGTGTTAAAAATAATAAATCTTTTATAGCAGGGTATAGAGGCTGTTAGAAATAATTTCATCATCTTTATCCATCATTTCCTTCACAAAAGATTCATATTGTTATATTTACAGCAGATATAAAAACATCTTTTTTTTTTTTTACTGACCATGAGCAGCGTAGCTGTCGTTTAGATAACCAGCATGCACAAAGTGTTTTTAGCTACCGAGTGAGTATACCTGGAATTAGAGCTGTGCTGATGACAATGTCCACTTCCTGACACTGTTTGGCAAACAGTTTCATCTCTGCCTCTATGAACTCCTTCGACATTTCCTTGGCGTAACCTCCCTGGCCCTCTCCTGACTCCTTTATGTCCACTTCAAGGGGCTCTGCACCGAGAGACTTAAACTGCTCCAAGGCTGCAGCTCTGAAGGAGAGAGGTGAAAAAGGGGAGAAAACAGTTGGACACAAATTAACGGAAGCTGACCCAGTAGTGATCTGCTAATATACAGGGTAATGTATCAGACATATGAATAACAAATAATAAGGTATTTGGATTATTGGTTAAAGAAAATAATGTAGATAAACTTTAAAACAATTATGATAAGAGTAAATAAGACAATCCTCAAAAAGAAATAAACCTACATTTTATCTATATTTAAAAATCTCTGATCCTGAACAAAAATTGCAAAAAAAAAAAAAAAAAACCCCAAAATTGCTGAAGTTGCTGTAATATCTTTGTGTCATTTTCAATGATTAATGCAGAAATAATTAACCTTGAACACCAACCTGGTATCAAAACCTCGGACAATGGCTCCCATGGCCCGGGCGGTACCTGCAGCTGCCAGACCGGCCACACCTCCTCCAATAATCAGCACCTATTCTCAGACATGGAAACAGAAAAGGCTGGGAGTCACCAAAGGAGCGCTGGAGCGTAAAGTAAGAACTGCAGTAAGCAGCTTGGACAGTAAACATGTAAAACACAACAGCAGAACCATGGATAGTCCCACTACTCTCACCTTTGCAGGCGGCACCTTCCCAGCTGCTGTGATTTGACCAGTGAAAAAACGTCCAAAACTGTTAGCTGCCAAAACAACTGCCTTGTATCTGAATAAGATAAGGTAAAATACAGAAGGAAATGACAGAAAATGAACTTAGACATTGTAGCTGCTTATAAATCTACAATCAAAACTGTTGCCTGAGCTTTAAATATGACAGCTGAATCTTATGGTGAATACTTATGGCAGTGAAAATCAACTATTCAAAATTGCATAGTTTTCAGCTTGATGACCAAAATGCTGGTAAAAGTTAATAAACATTTTATTTAAATACAATACACCTTCCTACTTGCTAAAACATTCTCCTCTAGGAACCTGAATAGTAATTTTATGTACTTTTAAAAGCAGTGAATTGCAGCTTGTGTACCTACCCTGCAATGTTTGCCATGGAGCTCAGCGCATCGTAACCCTGAGCAATGGTGACCCTGGGCACCTGGTCCATTGCCAAAACCGTGGCCTTTTTCTTTGACAGCATTTCCATCAGTTCGGGGTTCTGAGCTGGGTAGATGAAGCTGACTAAAGTTGAAGCTTCCTTCATCAAGTCCACCTCGTGAACAGCCAAAGCAGGGTTAAATGTGGGAGCACGCACCTGGAATAAAATGAATCCAGCTGAGATTGCTGCACAACTAAGATTCAATTAATAAGATCAATTCATTACTCATCTCGTTCTGCCTGCATGAGGGAATAAAGTCACCATTCAACTTAAACCTACATGTAGTATGCCACTGTGGCTTTCAGTTGTTTAGTATTTACACTGAAAGGAGAGATCGAACTGTCAAGTCCACAGTTAGACAGCATCTCTATGAAGTCTATAAAGCCGAGAATACAATTCATGATTTTTCGCCCTTTTCGTGCCGACTTTCCAGTCAGACGAGAATTTTTTGATCGGTCCGACTTTCAACCTGATCGTGCATCATGTAATGTACAGGGGGTAACGAGGGGCGATCAGGCTCTCACGACCACCTTCCGATCAGGAATCGTGAGGTCGGGAGAAAATCAAACATACGAATCGCTCAGTGGGCATGCGCAAACAAGGATTCTTCTTCTTCTTTTACTCTCAGATGAAAAAAAAAAAAATTGACAGACCGTAGTAGCCCCATTTGCTCAGCCATGTCTTTGTTCAAACACGTCGTCGCCTTTTCTTTTTACGGCTTTCAGGATACAAAATTGCCAAGGCAGCGCATTTCTCTCTAGTGAGCTTCATATTCGTCTTGTACTCGTTTGGCTGCCGGATAGACGAGGCTGAGTAGGGCCATCTCACTGCAGAGCTGAGTCCAACGTACAGTGTGAGCAGTTAGATGCATCAAAGCGTCGGGTCGCACAGTGTAAGAACATACATCGTGAGCTTTGAACTCACTGTACGACAAAACCCTGCCGTTTCGTCGTACAGTGTGAGCTGCAGCTGAGGGCAACGATTGAAAAAAATAATAATTGCGCAGTGTATGCACGACTTAAACTGGAGGCACTCTTTATTACAAAATACTGACTAAAGATATTTCCTCCCCCATAAAGCCTACCTTAACCAACAGATCAGATGCCAGCACATCTTTCACGTCTTTAATTGCAGCTCCGGCCTGAGTGTAATGTTCATCAGGGAACTTGGAGGGCTCTCCGGCTCCAGACTCCACCACGACATTAAAGCCCTGCTTGATGAGAGCCTGAACACCAGCTGGAGACAGAGCCACACGACGCTCATTCTGGAAAACTTCTTTGGGAACGCCAACTGTGAGTTGCTTGTATGGGATTCCTGTAGGCAAAGGTGAGAAAAACAACATTTAGAGATAAGATCCAAGTTTTAATTCACTCACAGTTCATTGTGAGCTGAGACAAAACCGGAAATAATCAAAAATCAATAAACCCCAAGCTGTGAAATCAAGGTGAGGGCCCTGTCACAACTTGCTGATTTAGACAGCATAAAAAGAACAAAAGAAAGAAGGTTTTCAGTCAAAGCAGATTCAGCGATATGTCTGGAAGTTTGTTGGTCCTGGCCTTGAACACAGGGAGGATCCATCACACTTCCCTTCTCGTTCACCCTATGATTGGGATGCAGTCTGGAGGAGAAGTTACTCATAAGGTTTTGGATAAGCTAGACACCACAACTGATAAGTAACTTACACTTAATGTATGTCAACGATCAGATAACTTACCTGTATGTATATGTACATGGCAATTTGTTTGGCATCTGCTGGACTAAATCGTCAAGGTGTGACAGGGGCTTAAGGAGGGCAAAAAATTAAACCTTTTTTTTTTCTAAAGCTAAAATTCTTTATAAAAAAAGCCAACAAAATAGCTAATACCACACATACTACAATAATTTTCCCAGCTATTTTAATGGAGCTCCTACAAGCGGTGATAAAAATAGAAACCATTGAATGAGGATCTGTGTCCAAACTTCTGAATGGTTCCAATGTTGCCACAAGAGGCCAGTATAGGCTACATTGTTGAAGACTAACGCATTCATAGAAAACATGCAGTGTAAATATTTGAAATAAAAAAGCACCTCCTAGTGGCCATTACTGTTCCAATGTTTTAGTTTTAAATCTCTTACTTTTATGGGCTGTTAGAGGCCGTCCCCTGTAGATTAGAAGCACTCATGTTTGTAAAGTGGGTTTCTTACCCACATTTGTTTGAAAAAACAACTTTGGTTTAAAGTTCTATACGTTTTCTATGAATTGGAATTTTTTAAAGCATGGTCTGGTGATTATTTGTTGCCCTCAGACTAATTTTGAGAAGTTTATGAACACAATTTAGAAACGGAACAAAGTCATCCAAATAATTGATGCATAGGGATGCCGTTTTTGGAATTTACTAAATCATATTCTCTGTTAGGTACACAACTTTTTTTTTTTTTTTTTTTACAAAGCTTGATAAAAATGAAAAAAAAAAAATCCCCTTTCCCCAAAATTATTATTATTAACTTTTATGGGGTTTTTTTTCCTTTCTAAAAAATATTGAACATTCTTTTCAGGTTTCTGGTAAAAATTAAACATTTCAAAATTAAATTTTTTCTGTGGCAAATCTGTATGTCCCACAAGGGTTGTCAACGTGACCAGTTTGGCCCATGAGGAAAAAACCTTGGACACCACTGCTACAATCATCAGAGTACGTGAATGCATCTGTTTGATTCTGCAGGCCAACTTAAGTATTTGTTTCATAACTTTTCTCTTTTTAAAGTATAAGCTGTTTAAACAAAACACAAAGTAATTCTGTTATCATTCAGTAAAACAACCAGAAAGGCACAGTTTCAGGTATTTTGTCATAAACCTAAATGCTAAAAAAGATTTAAGCATAAAATGATTCACCACTTGAAATTTCGGGGTTTGGTTACAAGGGTGTGTACAGTATAGTTATGGACAAAATTATTCACACCCATTTCAACCCAATACATTTATGAAAATAAATATACAATATAACCATTTTGACACATTTTTCTTCCAACTGAAAACAACATTAAGGTTTTGGTATAATTCTCCCAACTCAAATCTATCAGAATCTGTGGAGAAGATTTTGGGGAAATGAAAGAAGATCAGGAGATCCATCACCACAGACAAATTGTGAAAATATTATTAAAAAAAGGACGAAAACAAATAATGAGCAGCTATGCAACAGCAGGAAAAGCAATGCTGATTTTTTCCCCCCATTTATTATTATGAAGGATATTAAAACTTAGGCTGAACTTTTATAGGAAAATATTAAAAAATTCTGTGTTTTTTTTTTGTCATACCCTAATTTTAAAATCTTTGGTTAATTTGATGCAGAGCTCCTTTCCTTCTTTCTATTAGAATCACACTTCTTGGCTGATAAAAAATATTTCCTAATCCAAATCTCCTCAGGGGTATGAAAACATTTGGGCTAAATACCCTGAAACTACATTTTTAAACTGATATAAAAACAAAGGCAAACTGAGGGGCCATCTTAGAATCCATTTCTGAATCTTCAGGTCTGCTTTTCAAGCAAGAAGCAGGTTATGTGTTGCATTAACTGCAATGGAAAATTCCACCTCACACCTTTTCTTTCCCTTCGCTTTCTCTTTACATAAACACAAGTGTGATACGTTTCTTTTTTCCTTTCTCGTTCTTCAATAATGACCCACCTCAACAACCAAAAACTGGAGGAGATTTTAAATCTGTATGATTGAGGTTAAAGATATAATTATATTGGATGTGCTTTTTATTATTCCTGTATACAAATCCATAGAGGTCAAAGCTAGGTCATTTAAACACAAGAGGTCGCTACTTACATTAAAAAGATTTGTTTGTGGTTGTGAAAGAAGTTGCCAGCTGCTACTGGAGCTGTCTGAACTTTAGGAATGTCAACCTCTGTCACCACAGACCAGGAAAAACAAGCATACTCAGACGTTAAGCTCCTTGAGCCAGCCATCACTGGTTTAAACACTTCCTAGCTAGTTGAGATTAATGGCAGCTGTGTCCTTCAAAGTATGTTGAAGCACAAAGATAAAACAGGTAACACTTCCTATGGCACTCTCCATTTGAAAGGGAAAATTGTCCTCTGGTCTTATATACCTCTATTTTGGCAACACACTTAAAAACAACAACAAAAAAATAAAGAGGTTGCAAGCTATTGTAGATTTATCAAGTTACATGAGAGCCAGGGCTAAAATTAAATTAAAGCACTGCAGCAGAAAAGCATTCTAATTAGAACGTCAACAAAAGCTTCATTTGGTGTTGCTTTCAAGCGTGCGAAGCAGTGAGTGAGCTCTAAATATTCACTGCCACATTAAACCACAATCTTTATTGCGTCTATAAAAGTGAAGTGGCTTTTACTATTTTTTACAAATAAAAAAAGAAAGAAAATGCCGCATCTCAGATTCTAATCTTTTGCAGCCTCCTCTTTCCTATTAATCGTGCATCTCTGTTGAATAAAAGAAATTAACAAAGCATGATGCTGCCACCACCATGTGTCACTGTGGGGAGGGTGTGCATAGCTTGTGCCACACTGCAGTCATTCTCTATATTCTGTAGGAGGCAAATTTATACCGAGATGGACTTAACACAGGCTGGTTTTATTTAATAAACCAGGAGTCCCATCTTTACTTTTAGCTACCAACTTAGATAAATTTAAAGGGTAGTTTGTGAGAGACTTGGTTCAGGATAGAAACCTAAAAGTCACTCATAGCACAAACAGGCAGCAAGAACTTTGCTTTGCTTTTATTATGACTATTAATACACTCATGTTATCAGTTAAAGCTTTCATTGTTTTGAATTATGACAAACTAGCAGAATGTTTGAAACAGTTGTTTTTACTGAGGTTGCAGATGACATATAAAAGTCATATTTACTCCTAGAAAGAATGTAAACATTCCAGGTGCAGCTTTTAAAGCACAATTTTTTACTTTCATTACAGCAAAGATGACATGACCTCAGAAGAGTTATAACTAAAGAATTACATAATCAGCACGAGGCTATAAACTGCATATGTGGTTAATGTTAACTTCTTTGTGCCAACTGTTGGATTTTATTGTTTTAAAATAAAGCATCTTACCTGGACCTGCGCTCCGCCAGAGAGCTTGATGGGTCCTAAAAAACCGCACACATGTTAATTTGACGGCAGGGCTGGTCTGAACCTTCACAGATGAGACGCCCCCAAGGACAGGGGCTGAGCAGCTGGACACCACGACGCGCAGGAGGCTCGCCATGGTGCACGCACACCTGACACTCGCACTGCAGCAGGATCTTAATGGGTCTGACAGCAGTTGTCCTGTAGAGGAGACACGGCAGACGTGTGCCAGCAGAAACACAAAGGGAGGGGAGGAGGGGATTAGAGGTCAGAAAGAATGGATCCGACAAGAAAAGTAAACATATCAATATGTTTTCTAAGGCAATCAGCTGACTTTTAACATAAAAATGCTCAGATACGTACAAAAAAAAAAAAAAGCCGGAAATGCAATCTTTAATTATCCAACAATTCTAATTCACAACAAGACCAAGTTTCAGACAAGAATTAATATTTTGTGTTTGTGACAAATAACTTCAGAAGGTGGGCTAGAATTTAATTTTTAAGTCATATGCAATGGCCAAATAAATAAATAAATAAATAAAAATCACAACCAACCATTTAGTTAAGTCATAGCCCACTGACCCAAGCAGAGGAGTAGACAATATGTTTACCCAACATAGAGATAATAAAACAGGCTCAACCTGAATTGGTGGCTGGTATTTTAAGGTTTAAACTAGAACTGACTGGTTGGCTGGCTATAAACTACTCTGTCACGCTTTGACCTCACTAACAAGGACAATTCGGTGTGTATGCAGAGTACATGCACACAACAAATTCGAGTACAAAAATTGTAGTAAAATTGTTGCCGTAAAACTGTTAAATCTGCCTCAGAAGTAAAAGACATGTTTATACTAAATTATTTAAAGTTTCATCATAACTACCTGCTTTAAAAAAAAAACAAAAAAAAAACATGGCTACCCATACCTGGTTTTCAATTGGCATCAATGACAACCCCATTTTTGTCCCTAATATTTGTAATGTTGCATATTGTATTTTATTTCTGCACAGTTTACTGTGACAAGGTTGTTATATGCAATGCTAAAAATAAGTTAAAAAAAAGTTAGTAGTGATTAATTAGATAATAATCTAATAAAATATGTATATTTTTTATTTAACATAATGGAATATAATGCTGGTGGGTGCTTGAAAAAGAGAGGGAGATTTTGATTTAGATGCATTTGATTGTTCAGTATTTTACCTGTTGAGGACTGATAGCATCCACTGTACTTCTACAGCCCACAAGCATGCCATTTAAATGTTAGTAATAAAATATATGTGGAAAAAACAAAGAAAGCCATTAAATTCTCATACATGAGAAATCTATTTCAAAAATAAAAGTATTTCCCCACTAAAATACCCCAAAATTTGATTGAATCAAACTGGCCAAAGAAAAGTAAAATAAAAATAAAAACACAAAGAAAAACCCAATGGTAAAACATACAACTGGTAAAAAAGAAAAAAATAAGATAAAAAAAAAAAAAAACTTAAAAAGAATATCAATTTATCTGAACAATATATTTTAGATTTTTTTAAATTGAGCATTGGTTTCAAGGTTTAATTGGTTGCAACTTTTACTTGTTCCCCTTCCAAATGTAAGCACGTGCTGAATATGCGAAATAAATTGTGGATTACAGCTGCCCCTTAGCCTTTAAATCCAATCAAGCCAAGTTATTCAAATAAAGGACTTTCGCACTGTTTTATAACCGTGTCCTGCACAGAGCCTGTTTCAGTTCCGAACAGTTCAGACACCAGGGTCTCTAAATGTGAGGCAGAGAGCAACGTATCCTTGCTGACTTCACTGCTTTCTTTTTGTCTCGTCTTTCTCTCTGCACAACAGAAGCGCTAACTCTAGCTAGCTAACCAGCTGGAGCGCTGTTTGACGTAGAAACAGCCCCCATATTGTTTCGTTGTTGTGGGTGGTGTGTGAGTCATAACAAGAATTTTGCACACTCAAAAAAATTCAAAAACGAAACAAGTGCAAAGTGGAAAGCGGGACCGGTGCGGTTAATGAAGAATACCTTCACTGACCTTTGCAGACAGCCCGGGCTCTGCGCAGCACAGCCGACTTTGCGTCGACCCGGAAGCAGTCCGCCGCTGAACTGCGTCCGAAGAGAAACATTTGATGCGTTGGCATCGCGGTCAGTGACGAGGCGCAGACAAAATATCGATTATATATATATATATATATATATATATATATATATATATATATATATATATATATATATATATATATATTCCTATACAGCAGTTTAATATTTATTTTTTTATCGATAACATTTATCGATACGTAAATGTTATAAAGCAAAGTAACACACACCTGAAGACAAATTTGAGCATTTTTTGTTCCTTAAAGCCAAATTACATAGTTACAAATCATTATTTGACTATAAAGAAACTTGAAATTACTACAGAACAAAAAAAAAAAAAAAGTAAAATAATTTAGATCTCTGGGGGTGCAAGTCCGAACTCTGCCACTCGGTGTCGCTCTTTCATTGACAGCATTGGTTGCCATCAGGACGCGTTCTGCGTTCTCTGCTGTGGGTTTATGAGAAGATGAGGCATAAAGATATATTTAGCCAAGTTGTGTTCATTTACTGAATACATTGTAAATACAAATATTACAAATCTTCTTATCTTTTTTTGTTTGTTTTGTGTCACATATTTCAGAAATTCCTATGAATGTTAAAATAAGTAAGATTAACCTGTCAAAAAGAGGGCTTAAAAAATGGATACCTATGTATTTTTTTCTTTTGGGTATATTACTATTTCAAATCTATTTTACATTAAATGTATTTTATTCTTCTATATATAACATATGCAATATGGTAATATTTCTTGATATCTTTCTTTTGATATGAATTGTGTTCAGAAGTATTTCTGAGCTAATGCTGTTGTTTTTTTCTGTCTGTTTTCTATGTGGTGCAGTCTTTTTGCTTGCATGCAAAAATAATGGTGGTTAAATGTGTTTATATAAAGTATACATTCATTTCAGTTTGAGTTTAGGTAACATTTAAAACTTAATATAAATACAGTAGAATTGTAGCCTCTTTTACTTACACATACTTGTCATCTGGTTCTCTTTATCAGGCTCAAAGGAAGGAATGCATATAGTCGTCTTTGTTGCATTTTATTCTAACATTTCACCCACCGATAGCTCCTCTAAACATACTGACTTTTCTTGCTTTTTTTGATTTAGAGACTGTAGAATAGCTTATGTTTACAAAAATGTTCTCAGCTCATTTAAAACTTGTTACCTTTACGTCCAAAGGTTGTCACTCAAAGATATTTTGGTCCATGCATGTTTTGTTTGCTGCTCTTTTAAATACCAGAGAGAGAGAGAGAGAGAGAGAGAGAGAGAGAGAGAGATTTATCTTGCACATTTACAAAGCAGAAGTACTCCAGTGTGCAACCACCTTCAGCAACTCAACTCCAAATTAGTCAATAGACATATTCACCATGATATTTCTTTGCACACATATTCCTTTCTACACATGTAAAAAGCTGAAAATCATAGACATTTATCCTACAAGGTTACACTCACATACAAGCTGTGATTGGAAGGCAACAAATAATAGATGACTGAAATTTGTAGCATAAATATACCTTTTAATTTTTTAGACAAACTAGTGAACCAGACTTAAATTGCAACAAGTTTTAAGACACCATAAAATGGTAAGTGTTTACAGCAGTTGTATGGATATGAAGTTGCACAATACAATATTTTTGAAAAACATTCCAAGTTAGAAAAAATAATTTACAGTTAAGAGTAAGATATTTTAGATTTTATTATTAACTAATATAATATGAAATAAATAGACGGCAATCCTGTCTGGAAAATGTTCATCCTATAGCAGGCCCCCCACGTTATACTCTAAGCTCTCCTTTTCTGAACTACAGTACTATGCTAGTTAAATAATATTAACTACTATTTAAATGATCCCTCTATCTGTGAGTTGACTTAATGGCTGCGTAAACAAAAAACACAAAGGTAAGGATTTTGTAAGGTCAGTTTTTTAGATTGTTGGCTTACTGGCTGACTTTAAATCATTTTAACTGTAGAATGCAAACATGATCAACTATAGAGAATTTCAAAGGGAGTTTGTTGAGCTGTGATGGCTGGCTTAACTGGAGGTAGGTCCTACCTTAAATTTTGTGTAGAGCCTCATACAATCAACAGCTTTACACAGTCTGTTTTAGAAGCTATAGTCCTGCTGTGCATTTATCTCTACAAAAAATCAGTGTGCAATTTTTCTTTATTTAGAATTTAATTTGCTAAACACATCATATTACCCTTTTGTATCACTTGGCTTTGCAAAATGAGTTATACTTTTTTTAAACAATCCATTGCAGGCTATTTACCCTCCCTCTAACCAACTTTTTGAATGAAGTTATATAACAAAAACATGTTTGACTTGGTGAGTGTGAATTTGCAGATTAAGTGGAACATCTGTCTGAGTCTGTCTGAACGTCTATTTGCCTGTATTACTGGATTGAAAATAAATAAAAGTGTCTTCTGCAAACCTAGAGAATGTGTGTACATGCTTAAATATAGCAGAGAGTGGGAGAAAGGGGGATGAGTTCTTCTTTTCTTCTCTGAAGAAAGTCTTTGAAGCTGCAGAAAATTCCAGGAGTTTCCTGTTAACAAGGCTGGGCTGTAATGCGAACCAGGAGTGTGTCTTTGGAGGAGAGTCAGTTTCTTGGCTGGTGAGGAGAGTTAGAATCACAGCCGTCTTTGCCGTCCTTCTACTTTCCAGATTTCACATTTGGTTTGCCTTTTTTGTTGTTGTTCATTATGCATCATTCAGAAATTCCTAAAGAAGCTTTGAAGACTGCGACTCAGAAAAACAGAATGTTATTTATTTAATTTTTTTTTTAGATAATTGCTGGGAGGTTCCTCTACTTTGCTGTGGATGCATCTCTGCTTTTCTAGAGTGAGCGGTGGTGCAAACAACTTAAGAAGGGAGGATTTCTATCCCAGATGAGATTCTATTGTTAGCATCAGTGTTCAGACGCATCTGCAAACTCAGCCATGTTAGTAAGGATGCTACATTTCTCTACCTCACAACACCTGGTGTTGTTAGTTCTCATGTGGAGCCTCAGCTGCACAAGTCTGATTACTGCCTGGCCAGGCATTCCAAGAAGTAAGCCAAAGGCTGATTTGGACCCAAATGTGAGAGACTGGGGAGATTACTCAGATGTTCCCACTGGAATGGAACATGGACTTGGACTGGAAGAGGACAGAGAAAATGAAGACAATAGAGGAGTGAGAGAGCCATCATCCAACTTGACTCCCGAGCTGGATTTCCTGGCTGACTTCACAGGCAGGAGAAGTTAACTGATCGATATGTATCCGTTTGGCTACTTACTCCTTATTCAACTCCAATGTTATCTACAGGTAAGAAGAGGCTGTGGGTGATAACCGCTCCATCACACAATGATAACTACCTACGGATGATGGAGAAACAGCTCGAAGACATGGATCAGGTACTGTTCCAATATATGCATAACAGCACTGTGGAACAATTACCACTGCTGGTCCTCAGCAGCATTTGAGCAGACTTGGGTAGTCTTGTTAGAACATTTATTAGTTAACATTTTTTGGGGAACAACTAAAGATTTTAGTTCATCAAACTAATTATTATTATTTGTCATAGTAGAAATGGCCTGTACACTATTTTCAGAACCTAAAGAGAGCAATGACAGTAAACAAAGAATTGCTATTGATTGCTTATATCCTTTCAATAGCCCAGAACTTGGATTTTGGAGTAACCACAACCCAATTTGTAAGTATGTCATCTTTAAGCTGGAGAACCAATTTAATTTGGAAAGTTTTGTACTTGGCAACCCAGCCAGTTCTCTGGATTAGATTATTCACACATAGTGGCAACATGACAGGGAACAATTTATGCTATGATTATGAATGTCTCGAAAAGATCTTAAGAGCTAGAAGTAAAAAAGAGAATATATATATATATATATATATATATATATATATATATATATATATATATATATAGGGTGAAAAGTATTCAGACCCTTTTAAATTTGCCACCTTTTGTTTCATTGCAGCCATTTGCTAAAATCCATAAAGTTCATTCTGTTTCTCTTTAATGTTTACTCAGCACCCCATCTTGACAGAAAAAAATAGATGTAATGTAGCAATTATTGCAAATTTATTAAAAAAGAAAAACTGAAATATCACATGGTGATAAGTATTTAGACCCTTTGCTCAATATTGAGTAGAAGCACCCTATTGAGCTAATAATGCCATGAGCCATTCCTCTTGGGAATGCATTAAAGGAATAGTACACCCAAAACATGATTAGCCTTCATTTTCTACTCACCCCCATGCTGAACAACACTCTGGAGTACTTTTTTGATATCTCAAATGCATCTGGAGATCTGGGAGGCTTCTTGCTGTCTGCTGACATTCAAATAATGGAGGTCTACGGTGCCCGAGACATAAAGGTCCATAAAAGTCCACAAAAACGTGTCAATATTCCTCCATACTGCTCGTCCAATGTATTCCAAGTGTCCTGAGTGGGTAGCATCCAGAATTTACTCGAAACGAAGTCATTTAGAATGTTTTTAGAGCATAAACAGTAGTGTATAGGATTTCCTGAAAGGCGCCATGGGAAGCCGGTCTTGTGCGAAATTCTGTTTCCCTGTGAAAATCTGTTCCCCCTGTGTCGGGAGCGTGCATTGCAGCCAGAGAGGAGATCTGACCCTTTTCACGGCGCTCCTGATCATTTAATGGTAAAAACAGCTCATATAATCGTCCCAATGTTGTAACATTCTGTTGCTCTTTTTACTAATTTGTAAAATAAATAAATTAACGAGGTCTTCCTACGCTGTTTTGTGTTGTTTTTTTAAACGCCAAGAGAAACAGTATTGCTCCAACTTTTGTCCCTTCAGCCTGACAGAAATAAACGTCAGTCACCAAACACAGATTCCCAATACGTAGTGTATTTTTAATTTTTCATTGCTGATATAAGAGGATGGAAACTGGCTGATAGCAGGGCACACAAATTAAGACGTCCTGCGAAAGCTGGACTTTCTGGTCATTCACCTTCTAATGTAAAATATGACAGATTACTGGATTAAGGACATTTCTAGTATAACATATCA